ACCACACTATTTTTTCTCTTTGCAGAGTTACCTTACGGCTGGGAGGAAATTGACGATCCACAGTACGGCACATACTACGTCGAGTAAGTCATCATCAGTGCAGATTGTTTTATCTAACTCTTTCCTCCTCGCTGCTCATAACATACGAATGCATTTCTCTGGATGGATCGCAGCACGAGTGCAGATCACACTGCTTAGTGTACATTAGCAGTGGACCGGCATGAATCATTGTTGTCTAAAAATAAACAAATGGATGTAGCACACGGCTCATTGTGTTTGTGAGGAGAGAAGTTGAGAGTTCTTGTCAGGATTGTCCAATTGCTTACCAGTGGGTGGCAAAATGAAGCTCTGTGGGTAACATTGCAGTGACCTGTGTGTGAACACAACGCTGATTGTGTTCTTGCTATCTCTTGCAGTGATTGTTTGCCAAGTATGTGTATAGAAGTGTCTCTGCATACTGTTTATATGCATAGATTTGTCTATGTGCAAAGTGAGATTTAGTGCTTTTTGTCCATGCAGAAAATCAGTGAAATGGTCAGAGGGAAATTGGGGAGATTTTCATATACAATGCATGGAGGGGAGAGTGTGGGGGGTAAAAGGGAGGTAGCAATCTGTTGTTCTGAAAGGAAAATGGAAATTCATGTCTTTTCTGATTGTTTACACTGCCAGCAGAATCAGCCAGCTTGGACAAAAGGAGTCAACACACCATATTTACATTGTAGCCATTTATCTGTGTCGTTGCCCTCGAAGGAAGCCTGTTGTGATAAAGTTCGACTGCTGTATTCTCAGTCATAAGTCCTCAACAGTCATTATTCTGCTTCTCCATTGATTAGCTGCTGACAAGAGAATGAATAGTTAAAATCCAAGGAGGCATGGGGTCATATTTCAAGATTTGATAACACCAAAAATACGAATGTTAACAGCTAGCAGGGCAGCAGTGGCTCGGAAACAGAGCGGATGTAATCCAGATAAGAAAATCAGCACTTCAATCCTCTGCTTGTCCTGCATGTGCGAGTATGCCTGGGTAAGATACTGAACCTATGTGTCCTTGGGCAAGACACATAGCCTCAAGTTGCTCCTGCTTCATCTGCATCATATGATTGTGTGTGAATGAATCAGTTAAAACTGATGGACACTTCACAAAGCAGCCTCTGCCATCAGTCTGTGAATGGGTATGAATGGGTAGGTGTGACCTGAAGACTAGAAAAGCGCTATACAAGCTCAAGTTCATTTACCATTTATTTATCCACCCCCTCATGGTTGGCTATTAAGACCCAGGAAGAAGCCGACCTACATGATAAGCTTATGCTAGTATTCAGTCACTATAGGTTAGAGTTTTGTAAGCAGGGGAGTGTCGGTTAGTTACCTTGAAATGAGCTCTTTGGAAAACAATGGCTGTTTTATGCCGGGAGGACAACAGGCTGTTTACATGCTGTAGAGGAACAGGATGTTGCTGGCAATCAGAGGTTCATTTCCTACAATATTAGATGGCTCAAAGTCATATTAGCTTCCCCACATAAAGAAGAGGAGAACCGGCCTATACTGTTTGTGTGGTGTGTTTATGAATGTATTTATAATGAAGCCACTATACCTTCCCTCGATTAGAAAATCATTTATAGGGAAGGTGCATACATAATTAATTGAGAAAAATGGTGCAGTGAGCTCAATAAGTCAGAGATGTGTGAATGTGTGTGTGTGTGTGTGTGTGTGTGTGTGTGTGTTTTTGTACGTGTATGTGAGTCACTTCTTCTCAATCTCGGCCTGTTTTTTGTTTCAGCCACATCAACCAGAAAACCCAGTTTGAGAACCCGGTCCTGGAGGCAAAGAAGAAGCTGAGCCAGGAGACGGCTGCGATCCAACAAGCTGCAGCGGCACCTACCCAGGGTAAAAGCACAGAACATGTCTCCCTCTTCAACTTCCTCTCTAGTTGGAAAAAAAAAAACTTCAGGATTTTCTAACTGCAGAGGGGTTAACTAAAGGACATTGGGAATTATTCTTTGAACATATGAGAACCTAGAAGTGTGATATTTCTGCTCTAACAAATGGGACAGTGGTCTTTAAAGAGATACAGGTATATGGCATATCTGCCTTGCTTATTTAAACCCCTGTTATAAGTGTTTTAGTCAAGACTACACCAACCGAGACCAAGACATAACTGAGACGTTAAGGGATCGAGACCGAGTCAAGACCAAGAGACCAAGACCAAGAGACCAAGACCAAAGCAGGAAGAGGCCGAGACAAGAACAAAACCATAAATTTCAATGGAAAATCATCATCTTGTGTGCATTGGGCGTGTCACTCACTTAGACCTTAACACTGGGAAGTTTGCGGCCGCAAATGGGGGAACAAAATGGAACTACAAATGAATTGAAGTTATTCGTTCTTTTAGAAAGAGGCGTTTTCCTTCGAATCACAGAAATGGAAAAAACAGTGGTGGTCTGAACTGGTCTTGATTTAAAATCCAGAGTCCGACCAGTCCAAGACCGACACAAGACCGAGTAAAACTGATTTAGATTCTAAGACAAAGCCGTGACCTTTAAAAGGTGGTCTTGGGACCAGTCTTGAGACCAACACCGATTTTGGGTACTACAACTATAACACTACCTGTGTACATACCTTTAAGATTCTGATGTCGTGCTCATATTTCTCTTTATAATATTTAAAAACAGCATCAAAATCGTCAGCTTTTCTGAAGATTATTTTATTTCCTTTCTCATTGTTTTGCACTCTGACCATGAGCTTCAGCTAACTGTCGAACAGTACAAGTGTAATTTCATTACTTTAGATCACAATCTGTATACAAAACACAAACCACCCTCTCTCCTGAGTCAGTGTGATGTGATAGATAAGATTACCCTGGAATAGAGAGCAGTGTGAACGTCATTATTTAACGCAAGGTCAGCTGAACATGTCAACCTTCAAGTAGCCTCGGACAATAATAGACACTCAAAATGACCTCCACTTCCCTGGTTCGTTATTTAGGTTGGAAAGCTATTTTTCTCCTACAGTAAACATTATGAAGTAAGTATGTTTTCATTACAATAGATGTATAATAGATTACAGTGCTGCAAATGTGGAGATATAAAGGCTTGTGCACCTCCGAAGGGTGTCGGGGAAAGAGAGGGGGAAAGCTGAGAAGAGGAAGGCTTTTAGCGTCGCACATGGAAAGAGCTTGTGGAACAGAGCGCCAGAGAGGCCATGTAATCAGACATTTCTTTGCTGAGGTGTGTGGGGACTGAAGAAGGCACCATCTCGCCCCTGATTACCGATTACACACCCAGTGAGCTGTCAGACTATCACTGTGATGAAACCGGAGTATCATCAGCGTAGACGGTTACACCTCAGGCTAGAATTGAGATTTTTATAGCTTCAATGATACGAGTTTCTCTGGGAGTTTTATCGCATGGAAATTGCTTCTGTTAAAACATGGATACCCATGTAAATGAACCTTATTGTGGTCCACTACTTCCTACTCCTACTTCCTTATCCTGCTAGTGTACTAACTGTATTAAGTTTAAAACGTTGGAAATTCATAATAAATCAATTTTTTTGCAACTTTACACATTTTAAGCGTAAATGAATCAGGATCATTCTTATGCTTCTTGTTAAAGGGAATTATGGAGTCCATCACCTGTCTTCTCAAATCTGCAATCTAAAGAGCATATTCATTTGTCGGTTTGTAACATTGAAGGGAAAATTGTTATTAAAAATCAAATAAAGTTCTGTGAATTTTGTCTTGATGCCTGAATATTTGACTTCAGTATGAAATCAGCCTTTTTTATTCATCGACAGCTTTTACTTAATGCCTGTTGATTGCAAAGGTCAATCCACCTTCTGCTTTTATGTCGCTATGTTTAGCTTAACGTGGGCAGGGCATGCCAGTGGTGGCTCAAGTTTTTAGTTCACCACCTGGAGGATACAGAATGAGCATCTAATACCTACTAAGAAATTATTCTAGTGAATTAAAGATATGTTATAATTTCTGCTCAGTATGCCAAGTGCAAACTTTCCTCCACAGAGAAGCAATAATATTTTATATTTTCTCCCTGCATGGATTTTTACTGTTGAACCGAAGTCAACTGTATCTATAAAACAACTTATATACAAATATGTTGCTGAAATAGCTTCACGGGGGCAGAGTTGGTCGTCTTCTAAACGGGAGGTCGAGGGTTTGATCCCCAGTTCCTGCAGCAACAAGTCCGATGTGTCCTTGGGCAAGACACTCAACCCCAAGTTGCTCCTGCCGCTTCGTCAGTGGGCTATGAATGTGTATGAATGGGATTAGTTACTTCTGATGGTCATTCTACATAGCAACCTCTACCATCAGTGTGAATGTGTAGGTGTGACCTGCAGTGTAAAGCGCTTTGAGTAGTCTGAAGACTAGAAAAGCACTTTACAAGCTCAAGTCCATTTACCATTTACATCCAAAAAGACAGGAAATTTGAACAGAAAGTGACAAAATGTGTACAATTTGAAGAACTCAAACTTACAATTAAAAAACAGTAAATACACCAACAATGAACCAAGACAAAAACAACAACAAACAGAGATCAGAACAAATACAATGATAAAAATATGGCCTGTCTATAAGCTGTGTTGGCAATGTTGAGGTTCATGTTATATGATGTGTTGCTGCAGATCAAACCAGACTGTGTTTTGTCAGTTAGCCAAAAAAGCAGGCTCTGTGCCCACATGTCTTCATTGTCTGTTTTCACTCTGATAGGCTGTCCACATCAAACACAAGGAACTTCCTCTGTTTGTCAAACTCTTGGCCTTGTTGATTTAAAAATTCTGCTGCACAGGATGCATTCGTAGAAAACAGCTGCTTTTGCTGCTCGCTTGATGTACCGAGGAACATGTCTTCCCAATTATGCTGAGTAATGTCACTGCAAGATTTACAACGCAACTGAGTCACACATGAGAAATTAAAAAGCCCGGCTGTCTGATGCTCCGGATCAGATGGTTCTGTCTGCTGCTGGCTTTCAAAGTCTGCCCACAATCATCGGCACAGAGACCTTCTTCGGCCTCTCCCACACAAGTCAAAACTCACAAATCATTTTCTCCATTACAGCTGTCTGTTTCTTCACACACAAACAGGCAGTCAAATGGTTATTTCAGGCGCCAGCGGGGGGAAGATAAAAGAACATTCAGGGCTGAGTTTATCAAGTAATTTGAATGTGATTATGTAAATGAGCTTTGCTCGATCCATGCGGCACTGTGGACATCTGCAGTCCACACTGACTGTGATAAGTTGCACTCGCTCACACCCGTTCATGTCTGCAGTGAATGTTTATGGCTGCTCATCCATTTGCTGCATTTAAATTCCTCACAAATGCCTCCTGAGAGTTATAGAGTGTTTTTAAAATCTAAAGAATGAGAGGGAAAATATGCATCAGTTGCTGATGCATAAGGCTGATGTTGTGATCTTAAATCTTTGATATGAATAAGGTCACATCGTGATCACTGTTCATTCACAATATTCGACAGAGAGCGATAAAGAGGTCAAGCTTTAGAGGAGGTGTTTTCAGGTGAATTGTACACACACACACACACACACACACACACACATTGATGCAGTCCGCAAAAATCCAATTTGAATTGTCTTCAAAGTGGCAAGTGTAAATTTGACCAAAGGGCACCTGTTCTGCTCTGATTTATAACCTTTGACATGTGTCACATGCTTTCAGATTTTTACTCCATGATGATCCACTTAGCTTACGGCATGCAGCTGCTGTGGTTCTATGATTTACTGAGTGTGGACAAATATCATTAAAAGACCATATCCAATATTAAATGGATCCTTAGAGCAAGTTCTGACTGTAGAGCCAAATCCTTTTTTTTCCCCACAATTATCCTCTGTGGGAGAGAGCGCCATTGTTTGACAAAAACACATCAGTAAGCCACATTGTTGCACTCATTGACATGTTCCTTCATAACAGTAAACCCTCGTTTTTTTTTGTCCATCCCACGTACTCAATCCTGCTGGCTCAAGTACTCACTATAGTGGAACAGTTGTTGAAATATTCCCCAGACATGCACTAAAATAATGTTTGAAGCATAATTTTTGGTCAAGGAAAAGAACTACATGGCCCAGCTGAATAAGAAATGTTTGATCTCATTTTGTAAATAAAACTGTCACACTTACAGATTGAAGTCGTCAGTTGTGATAAAAAAGTTTGGGAAGACAGACTTATGCATTACAGTCAGAATGTCGCCAATCTTATTCCTTACATTTTGCGGAAATTTACAACTGAAAGAGTAATCCAGTTAAACCTGTAAGCAGCATGTGACCAGTACACTTTCGTTCAAGTGATTAAGTTTCTTAAGATTAAGTCAAACAGCAGCAACATTGGAACTTCTGCTAGCTAGCAGCTGCCTACCAGGTGCCTACTTGTATCTGCTAACGTAAAGTTAGCATTAGCCTATTTAAGGAGGAGCTCACTACACTACTACTCCCTTCCTACCATTGGAAAACACTACTTTTTAATTTAAACTCAAAGTGAATGTTTTGAAATAAATGATGTTTGAGTAAATGTAATGTGTAACTCTTAAAACTGAAAAGCTCATTCATTGTTTATGATAGAGAGTTAAAAAGTATGACTTTGTTCTCAGTATGTTTGCTACTGCATTTCTGTCTCCCAAAAGGGTAGCTGCAGTTTACTCTCCTTTAAATACACTGAAACTGGAAACTTTTTTTTTTTTGAAACGGTGACAGACCATTTTCTAAATGTACAATGACATTTCTGGCATCCCGTAGACAAGCAGCCACATCACACTCTCTTTATATTCACCACACTTGCTGTAATGTGCATCATTTCTCACCAGCTGGCTTCACTTTCACTGTTTTTTGAGTCACAGCTTTAACGCAGCGCTGGCCAGAAACCATCAGACAGGGAGGGGGAAAAAAACGGTGTGTCCATGATCTAAAGTGCTGATACGGTGTAATGCCAGATAGGGAGGCTGCACGGTGTAATGCAGTGTGACCCTGACAGTCGGTTATCTCGTGTATTGCATATGCCAGAGCCAAGCTGCTGGTCCATATTGATGTTGCCACTGACCTTAAGTTGTTCCTTACTCAAGTTATAAAAAGTCGACTGTGACAGAACTCTTTTTCTGTGAGTCACTGGCTGCAGTGTGTAGGGGATAAGAGAGGACACTGAGCTAAATTGGACTCTGTCAGAGGTGTTTTATCTCTGCACTGCTCTATGGTTTTGTAATAGGATCAGGCACTTAACAGTTTACAAGTTAATTAGCATCTAAAGTGAATATTTTAACAGATTTTATCCATCTGTTTGTGCTCCTTTCTCAGCAGGGTTGTAGGAAAAGGTCTCTGTTGATGGGTTTATCTAGTTCAGGCATGATCATCATGCCTGTTAATTAGAAACGATTAATTACAGTGTTGATCCTCTGCACATAATGCGTGTAATTATCACTCAATGCAGACAGGGATGGATGTTTCTGTCTTTCAAGAGGGATGTGAATTTATTTGTTCATTAGAGTTACTGTGTGACCCCTGAGAAGTTTTAACTTGTGTGTTTGATGTATACAGTATATTCATTAACTCTCAGCGCTCTTTAACACTATATAACACATATGACTGCATTCACACTGTGCTTGCAGGTAAAGGAGGTGCGTCTGGCTTCACTGCAGACCCCAGCCAGCTGAAGGGTGAGATGTACCACACAGCGCTGAAGAAGAGCCCACAGGGGTTTGGATTCACCATCATTGGAGGCGACCGCACAGACGAGTTCCTGCAGGTGAAAAATGTGCTGAGCGACGGCCCTGCTGCCCACGACAACAAGATGGCGTCCGGTGAGTTTATCCTCCAGTAAAAAATACTGTACATAGATTATTGAATCAAATCTTTCTGAATGGGACCCCTCATGTCTCACTTGGGCTTTATGATATTGATCCTTTTTCATTATTAGAAAATGATTATTTTCTATTTCTGTTTTATCTATCTCATCATCTATCATGTTTGCCACGGGTCCTCTCCAGGGGCGTGTCCAGAGGGGTGGCCAGGGGTGGCATGGGTTGCCCTAGATATGTGATTGGCCAACCTAAGTGCCACCCCAAAAAGCCTAAACTGTGATCTGCAAAGGCTGCTCATAGTTTTTTTCAAATATCAATGTAGAATATTTTCTTTTGTTTTTACTTTAAATTGTAAATAAAAGCTTTGTACACCTACTGAATGTGTGTGAACGTGATTAGTAACTTCTGATGGACACTTTACATAGCAGCCTCTGCCATCAGTGTATGAATGTGTAGGTGTGACACAGAAAAGCTCTATACAAGCTCAAGTCCATTTACCATTTACCATTTTATCAGACTGGCTGATTATGATAGATGTGAAGCCATCTTTGTTGTGTAGTTTCTGATTTTTCCACGGCCTCATGGCTGTCTACCCAAACCGTCAGTTGTCAGTATGTGATGGATACAATCATTGATATTGACAGAAGTCTACGCCTGTTCTCACCTTCATGTAGCTTTTGCACAGAGTGCTGTTCAAGTCTTTTTAACAATGGAGCAAGTGGAGGAGGTACAGGGATACAGCAAGACTGAGATAAGAGGAGAGAGAGAGAGAGAGAGAGAGGAGGGACAGGGAGCTGCCAAAATGAGAAATATGGGCGAGCAGTGAAGAGGAAAGGGACATTTTATAGGAAGGATTCATCTGACAAAGGAAAGGAATAAGTGCTTTCCACAGGAATAGAGAGGAGTGATCTCTAGATTAAATATCAGAAGAGGAACTCCCCCTCTCACTTTCTTTTTTCCTCACTTTACTTTTTTTAAGGTGATGTGATTGTTGAGATAAACGGGTTGTCCGTGCTCGGGAAGACCCATCCAGAGGTGGTGCAGATGTTCCAGTCCATTCCCATCAACCAGTATGTGGACATGGTGCTCTGCCGTGGTTACCAGCTTCCTCCAGATGTGGATCTAAACAGCGATGACCCTCTTCCACCTCCTCCGCCCCCGCCTGCCTCTCAGCCCCCGCAGGCCCTGCACGGCGGAGAGGTGGTCACCGCTGTGCCGCTGATCAACGGACAGCCGCTGCTCGTGAAAGGCGATGTCCTCCACGGCTCCTCGCAGGAGCTCCACTACGTCACAACAGACGCCAGCGGCCGACCTGTGGTGGCTGCCATGCCCAACGGCAGACAGGGCGGGGAGTTGGCCGCAGGGCTGCTTCAGCCCGAGCTGGTGAGCGTTCCGCTGGTGAAAGGGCCCGGAGGATTCGGGTTCGCCATCGCTGACTGTCCGCTGGGTCAGAAGGTGAAGATGATCCTGGACGCTCAGTGGTGCCGCGGTCTGCAGAAAGGCGACGTCATCAAGGAGATCAACATGCAGAACGTCCAAACGCTGAGCCACGCCCAGGTGGTGGACATCCTCAAGGACTTGCCTGTGGGCAGCGAGGTCAACGTGCTCGTGCTGAGAGGAGGTGAGAGACTCAAAGTACTACGTTTGTCGGTGTAACAAAGTCTGTTTTGGCAGCGTGTACACATTGGGATCTCAGACACCTGTCAACATCATCAAGAATAGCTATTTAAAAAATGATAACTTTCTTCAGGGTCTTGTTTGCTTCATAGGTTACATAGTACAGTTTAAAGAAGACCCTAAGACAAAAAGCAGGATGCATCAGAAGATTTACTGGAGCCAGAGGGGAACGAAGGGATCAGACAGATAACGTTGCACCAAGCTTCAGAGAGCTTTGGAGTCAATGAATAATATTTTGGAATCTAAAAGCCACAGGTAGCGTAAACCAATCAGGTGCACACTATTCTCCAGAGCATATGTGAAGCATATGAAAAGTGAGCCACCAAGAGTGGATTTAAAAAGCGATGGACTAGAAAGGGAATGGACTGATTAAAGTATAAATACTTAACTAAACTGCCAGTTAGCATGAGTCACTTCACTCCAAAAACTAATTAAGATACAAGCCACATCTTAATATTTCAGCAGAAACTAATTGTGGGCCTCTTAAAAGATGCTAATAAATGAAATATATCACCCCCCCGACCCTTTTATTGTACTGTTCCCCCCTCTCCTAACATTATTGTGGCAGTCTGCAGTGGCTGTTATCTTTACCAGCGTTGTTTAAAAAGAAAACCCCTCTCATAAAAAACAGAAAAAGAGAAGACAAACACTAAAAGCATCAAGCATCTTCTGTTTTCTTCTCTAGGGCTTCAAAATAATATCATGTCAAATGACTTGACTGTGTATTTTTACATTTATCTGACAGTCTGAACGGCTGTATGTCTGTGTGGCGGTATCATTCCCTCCATCTTTTATTCTCATGCTTCATGCCCTCTCTTGACATAACTTGCTATTGCTGTCGATACACGTTCAACAGTTCCCCTGGGAGGTGAGGTCAGCGTGCTGATACTGACAGGAGGTGAGGGGGTGCTGTGGCTGGTTGGAGGGGGGGGGGGATCACTGACCACACACTGTTGTTCTGCAGAAGCCTGGGTGATGCCACTGTGTCTGTGGTCTATTGAAGGTCACAACATCCGAGCCTGCTGCCTGTTTTTTTTTTTAAATGAAAAGAAGACACCTGCACCCCTCTAGCTGCAGCATTCAAACATCAGATGCGTTCAGATTAAGCCTGAAACACACATTCTCACTTCCTGCTCGTCAATGATGGCAGCCTATCCTGTGGTCCAAAGCTTCAAAATATGATCCAGGTCCCACTTCAGTAACAGTTTTCTATGTAGTGGTCGAGGCTGCAACAATAGGCCTACATCAGCAGAAGTTAGTCTCAAGCTGGGATGTGAGGTTGTCAAAATGCTTTGATACTTTCTGACACCACATGTTTCAAAGCGATTTAATGCCTGTTATTTAAAATGGAGCGGTACCTTCAGCATCATATTTTGAAGAGTTGGGCCACTGACTACTGGCTAATGCTGCATTTAATGAGCAACATTTACATCTTGAGCATTTTCGAATGCATTTCCTCTGTCTACACTCACATTGTTGCGGTCTGTTACAAGACTGAGAGCAGAAATTACATAAGTGTGGGGATGTGCCTGATTCTGACGGAGAGAGAGAGAGAAAGGGGGAAGAGGGAGGAGGTATGCACCCTTCAAATGTCTCCTACATCAGCTCCAGCTGGCCCCCGGGGGGGGGGATACACTGTGTGAGTGGACAAACTCCGGATTGGCTTTGATCATCAGCACAGCGCAGGCGATTTCTTCTCCGACTCTCCATCCACGACGCCCGTAAAGAACCGTGGCTAAACGACTGTAGAGGAAATGTCCCCCGAGGGTTCTCCGCCCTGTAGCCGCACCCAAACCCTTTTCTCTCTGCTCGCTTAGTACTCGCCTTCACTGCTGTGCCACCACCACCATGTCTTACTCCACTGCATGAGCGCACAGTCCGAGCAGTGCTGGACTTAGCCTGCCCAGTGGAAGAGCTAATGCCAGCTTTAACCCTCATTAGACAGCAGCCTATGGCTTAGAAGGGGATCCCTGAGTGAGTGTGTGTGTGCGTGTGTGTGTATTTGGTTGTGTTTGAGCTTCAGACATCCACAGATAAAGGTGAAGCAGTGCTAAGAGAAAGGATGGAGGGATATTAGATTTCTTTAAGGTGCGTCTGTAGCCAGCTTTTCTTTTTTTTTTCCAGGCCTGTGACGACAGTGATGTTGAAGCTTGAATTTTTGCAGTGGAGCAGAAAAACACCACTGCGTCTCCCCTTTTACATCAGGCTCCATTAACCCCTCATCAAGCCAAGTGTCAGCCGGGGCCCCACAGGGCTGCGGGCTCCAGAAGAGTGTTTGTTAATCCAGTTTACGCAGCGAGTGTAGGGCAGAAGAGGGGATGAGGAGGAGGGAGTAAGAGATGATCTGTAGGGAACAATCTTAGCGCCTGAGATGGAGCGTGTGGGTGTACTGTACGGCAAACAGAAAGAAAAAAACAAGGGAATTATTGGTTATTAATTATATGCATGAGTCTGTAATGCGCTCACAAGCTTCCTGGGCTTTCACCATATCGTCAGCACTCCAGCATATGGACTCCCCTTTAAATTCCCTATGTATCTTTCATTGCACATGGATGTAAATTCCCTAATGGAGCATTCTATAGTGAGTACACCTCTTGAGTTTAAAGCAGCTCACTGGTCTATTTTTATGCCTCCTGCTGCTGATTCTCAGTCAGAGACGCAGTGCCACCTAGTGGAGGAAGATCTAGGGAATATTTGTCCAAACCCTCTTTGCATTTCTCACCATGTTCTTGTTGTGTATCGTTTCTCTTCATAGGTCAAACATCGCCCGTGAAGAGTCTAAAGCCTGTGAGTAAAACACATATCTTTTTCCGACTTTCCTCTCCGTCGTTTCCCCCTCAGAGACTTATCCTTCAATTTAATTTCCAAGCTTTTGTGTCCTTCAGCTTAACCAGGAAGCCTCCACGTTGCATGGAATTAAGTGATAGCAATAAATTTGAATATTGATTATACTTCTTGCCGCCTCCTTTTGTTTGCTCTGAAAAACGCTCTTAATTACTTCCTTTCAGTATTCGTATTCTCAGGGCTATTGTCAGGGGATTGCAATGGTAATGAAGCATGGATGAGCCTTTCGGATATGCTGGTATCATTAATACAACAGTTTCACCAAGAGGAGTTGCCCTTTCTGGTTGAATAGGTCCTTCACAGCCACGGGAAAATCTCCTGTATTTGGCGGTGGATTTATTTTTTTATTTCAATCCAAATCTCATTGTTTAGTGTTAAAAATAAGTGGAGGCATGGAAATTAAAATCAGTCTGCGCCCTAAAAGAAGAGAGCGAGAAGAGTGACCTTTATGGCTTTTGGTAATCTATCACCGTTAAATGCACAGCCACTCGTCTTGTATAATGAGCGGTACAGACTATCAATAACAAGTGTCCTTCATGGGTGAATACCAAAGAATATGAGAGCTAATGACATTTAAATTGTAATAATATTGTAAATGATGATACTTAAAATCCCAATGAAAGGGAACCTCAAGAGTATCTAACTGCCTCATCGTAAATCCATCTGAAGCCGGATAGAGCCAATCACAAGATATTAGGCGGGACATAACGTTGGGTTGGCTGCGACAAGGCTTTTTAAGTCCAAAAATTAGTAAACACCAAATGGCAACCTCAGGTCTTGAAAAGTAAAGCCAATGCGGAAGTGCAAAATCCTGCAGTTCATCGAGTGTCCGCTTGAATCAGGCTTCAGGAACATCAGAAGTCACATACTGTACAGGCGAAAAAGTCATTTTTACATCAAAAACTAACATGTTTACAGCCATGGTATACGCCCCTGAGTGCAGGGTGAGTCCTCAGACACTTGAAATGTTTTACAGGAAGAGAAAAAAGATCTATTCTATTTTGGTCTAAACATATTAAGATAATGCTTTATTAAAAAATACTTACTACCATATTTTTAATTTAACTTTAAAGGTATATGAGGTGTTGATGGTACATTTATTTCTTCACAGAGACAGGAAATGACGGCCAGCACAGAGACTCTGGATGGCATCATGGACTCCGCCCCCAAGCGCTGCCTTACCACTCCAACACGAGCACCCTGCGCTCCGTGGAATCCCCCAAACGAGACGCCACCGAGTTGTACCTGAAGTCCAAAGCTCTATTGGACAGCAGACGTATGTGAACACACCATTAGTTGTCTGGTTGAAGCCATAATCCCTGACTCAACCGCCAATCTATAAATCAATAACAAACATTCATATAGCTCCAATCATAAGAAAAGTTATATCAGGCATTTTAAAATCAGAGCAGGTCTATAATGAACCTCTTTGTGATGTTATTTAGAGAGACCCATCTTTAATCAACATGTATAAACCAGACTCAATAGTGAGCAGCCGTCACTGATGACAGAGTTTATACTGTAAGTTTGTCGTTAGCCGTTGTGAGTAGTAAAATATTCAAGTAAAAAAAAAACCTTATTAAGTGTAGTGTTTACCTATCGCTGAATGAGACATGAGACGACGTCGTTTCTACACAATGCAAGCGATGAGCTGAGATCCGCTTCTGGAGCAACAGCGCTCTTGCTTGAAGTTAGGGGGCGTGGCTTTTGAGGGAACACAGAGGAGAGGTGAAGGGATTTAGACCATAGACTGTAGACGGACAACTGAGGGAATGCTACTTTCCAAATCAAGCTAGTTTTTCAAGAATTACCAACCCCTGCGTTTAAGTAGCAACGACAGAGTGTTTGGCTGTTTCTGGACGTGTTCTTGAGGTTGAATTTCTCTGTTATGTTTGTATCTGCTGTCAAAAATAATATATCCCCCTCTGCATTCAAGACACAATGTTCTCTTTCTCTTGACAGAAAGACCCTTTACAGTGTCATTCATTTCTTGTGTTATCTTTTCTATTTATTTATCAATATGAAAGTTGGCTCTTCTACCATTTTCAGCTATTTTATACTATTACAATTTATTTGTTGTCTGTATGTAAATGCGTGTTTCTGTTTTTTTATGAACACATTACATCCAGAGTTGAATGAATGAAATTGATTGATTGATTTGTTTATTGATCCACAGAGCCGCACACCAAAGACATCGATGTTTTCCTAAAGAGAGACATTGAAACAGGTTTTGGTTTCCGTGTTCTGGGAGGAGAAGGTCCCCAGCAGCCAGTAAGTCTACTATATTCATCATTTGTTTGCATGTTTAAATCTATAATAATATTATGTGTCCTGCAAAATAAAGAGGGGATTAACAGTTCAGTTAAAATCAAGGAAAAGTCAAGGAAAGTGAAAGCACAAAATTAAGCCTGATCAAAAAACTAGACACATTTAATAACTCAGTAAGAAAATCTACAATGTGCTGTAATAACTTTATGTAAGACCGTTCTTCAGTGAATTAACCCTCCATCAGAATGTCTTCCCGCAGGTGTACATCGGGGCCATTGTGCCCAACGGAGCGGCTGAGAAGGACGGGCGCCTGAGAGCCGGAGACGAACTCATCGGCATCGACGGCGTGATGGTTAAAGGTCGTTCGCACAAGCAGGTGCTCGACCTGATGACCAACGCCGCCAGAAATGGTCAAGTGATGCTGACTGTTCGCAGGAAGGTCATCTACAGAGGTGAGGAACGAGCAGAACAGTGACAGACATCTTTTTCTTTTCTTTTTTTTATGAAGTTAGGCCAAAAGTACACTCAATGCTTTTTGAAAGATGTGGAACGTCGGCTCACACTGCGCGACTGAATCATTGATGACGTACAACCAAAGCTCATAATTAATGTGCTCACACTTTACAGTCCTGCGTTTGGTCTCCACCCGAGGACTCACATTGTACAAATGTAATCACGACAGAGCCTTGACAAGTGTCAAAAGTTTCCTTTAAAAACTCTTGACCGGTCATGGATTCAGAGAATAATGGCTTTACACTGACGTCGTTTTCTCTCCACTAACGGTAGCCACTGGCAACCTCTTCACCATCCACATTAAGTAGCTCCTGCTGCACACTGACTTTGTTCATTGGCTTACAACACTCCTCTGTATTACTTTTGATTTGCATCTCTTCCCGCTTGTAAAAATACAGAACATCCACACTGTTCAGTAAAAGACCTCAGGAGTGCACACACACACACACACACACACACACACACACACACACACACACACACACACACACACACACACACACACACACACACACACACACACACACACACACACACACACACACACACACGCACACACACATTATCACCTGTATCCTCTTGTTTCAGACGCCACCGATGAAGAGGTTCTGGAATGGCTCCAGTGCTGGTGAACGGGTCCCCCAAGCTACCTCGCATACCCATGCCCAGCGCTCTAGACCACGAGTCGTTTGACATCACGCTCCACCGCAAAGACAACGAGGGCTTCGGCTTCGTCATCCTCACCTCCAAGAGTAAACCCCCGCTGGGAGGTAAGCGTGACTTCTCTTGTTAGTGATGACGTCAGTGTTTACATTTTAAGTCACACCGTCGTCATGTTGAGCTGGAGATCTGAGAAGAAAAAACACCTTTTGTTCAATATTCATGGTCACGAGTAGAGAATGAAGCGATAAGCAACAGTTGTTTTTATATTATTGTCTCTTCACTGTTTTTGTATTTTTCATTATTGTAAGTCAAATTAAATAGAAAAAGAATCATGCTGAATATCAAGAGGAAAACATGTTTAGCGTTGCAGGATAGAACCTGCAGAAAATAATGTAGGTTTCATATTGATTTTCTTAGTTTGATATGATAACTCATCATGCATATATAAATATATACTTATAAAGAATATGATTATGTCATAATGTGACATCCCGCCCTTTCTGCCTGCACGTGTTGGTTGGTTTGGTTTAACTTCCTGGCTCAATGGCCAATAGGCAGAGTCGGGAAGGACAGCTGGAAAGTGTGTACATCTGAGTTCTCTTGCCCAACCTCGACGTCTGCCCTCACACACTCACTGACTTTTATGCGCGTTCCCGTTAAGTCTGTGACGGCTCATGGCTGTCCCACTGTCAAATCGTGAGGGATCAAATCGTGAGGGATCAAATCGTGCGCGGGGGATCTCTCGCTGACTTCTTGAGCTCTCTATGCACCCTTCCGTAAGTGAGGGAATTACCCATAGTTCATAGCATTGTGACGTGAAACATAAGGTTCCCAGGGGAAGCCCGCAAGAAATGAAACGGCAAACAAACGACATAAAACGGGGAAAAAAAGGGAGAAACTGTAAATAAGCAGGAAGGTAAAACCACTCTCTATTTACAGTCTACCAAAAAGGTTTATTCCGAACTCTACTGCAAGTCTGTTAACAAAAACAAGAGAGACAAAGAGCATATTAGTCCCGTATATATATATATATAAGAGAAACCTTTATTTATCCACCAACGGAGAAATACACATAGCCTATATATTAAGTAGAACTTTTTATAAGGGCAATGGCTGTCAGTGAGTAAAGTCAAAAATGGAAAATAAAAATAGGCTACCTAATGCCACATGACATTGTGCTGTCATGGTTACAGAGATTTTGCAAAATGATGTCCCATTCCTATTTAACCTATTTCAAGCTCTCGTGTACTCGATCACTTTCTAGGTGACGTCAATTAGAAGTCCATAAGGGCTCAGGACTCAGGGTTTAGGGAGGACATCGAGATTCAGCCTCTCTTCCTCTCTTCCTCCCTTCCTTTAACCTTGTTTCATGTGTGATAACCCTTCTTTGTCACATACATTGTAATCAGAGTTTTTGTCTGTTACAATAAAAAGATAAATATACTGCAGCTTGTAGCCGGGGAGATTTCTGTCCGTTGCTTTGTATTTGAACGCAGTCACAGCCGTCAGTCGTCTCCACAGAGTCTGTCATCACGATGGCTTTCAAAACACATGTGAAGGTTTTCGTGAAGGTCACTCTGTTCAACTCTCTTTTCTCCTCTTCTCTTCATATCTGCCCCTTTCAGTGATTCCACACAAGATCGGTCGAATCATTGAAGGCAGTCCCACGGACCGCTGCGGCCTGCTGCACGTCGGGGATCGCATCTCGGCAGTCAACGGGCGCTCCATCATCGAGCTCTCTCACAACGACATCGTCCAGCTCATCAAGGAGGCCGGAAGCGTCGTCACCCTCACTGTGGTTCCAGAGGACGGTCAGTGTCTCTGTGTGTGTGCACACGTATGGAGTGATTATCCTGATATAGAACTTTTGTGATCAATCGGCTTTTAGACTTTATTGCATTCAAGGGGACACGAAGTCGGCCGCATGTTCAAACGGTCTGAATGTTTTAAAATCAGAGAAGATTCAGGACCTAGTTTGACATTTTCCAAACTTGATGTAGAGAACACCTGTAAACGTTTACAATTCTTCATTTAAGTATGCAAAGTCTTCTGCGATTAGACTCCTCCGTCATGATGACTTCGTGCACTCAGAGGGGCAGAGAGGCCGACATTAAGATAGGATCCCACAGGTGTTGGTGGTGATAGTAGAGTGCAGGATGTGATGAGGAGTGGGTTTCTGAGGCTGTATCTGGACTCTGCTGAGCTGGACTGGAGGTTACCGGGGCAGAGGAGGGGCAGAGCGATCGCACTGAAATGACAAACTGACTGTGGAAGAGAGAGAGAAGATTTTAAAATGTGACAGCAGCAGAATGATTGGTTGAGAGAGGTTGGGGCAGAATCTGGTTGGTTTATTACTTATAGAGTAAACACCCACAATCATCTGATCACCAGAGCAGGGAGACGGAGGGAGTGGTGGAGAGGGAGTGTCTAAGTTGAATGAATGTGTGAGAGAATATTCTTTCTACGCTGAGCTCTATTTAATTATTGAAACTTAGACAATGATGTCAGGATTTGATTTTAAGGTCATTGCATTAAGTTGGACATTTCTAATGATACTTATTATAACGGTTCAGGCTACATTTCCCCAGGTTTGTGAAGGAGCATGTTTATGATTGGTTGCCTTGAAAAGTTGACAACGAGAAAACATTTTAAAAAAGTGAAAATGAAGGCAGAGTTCAGGGTCTCTTCAGATCGAGATCATGTCACACTCTTTTGGTACAGCGTAACTGATGATTGAGTTTATATAGTCTTTAAGAAGATCTTTCTCACCATGCCTCCGTAATGAAGTGAAGGATTTAATTTTATTTTGCTCAGAGAGAATTTGAAACATTTTGTAGAAGGATTTTTGAAGAAAATTTGCTTTGATGTCTTTTAAATCCTACGTTTTTTTTTTTTTTTTCAGAATACAAGGGCCCTCCATCTGGAGCGAGCTCGGCTAAACAGAGTCCAGCTCTCCAGCACAGAGCCATGGGGCAAAGATCAGCTCTGCAGGATGAACGGTAAGAATTGACTCTTATTTATATTTTACCCTCGAGGGGAAATTACTTATACACTCTGTCGTTGAGACATGCTACACACACAGGCTGAAATACACACACAGGCTAAAATACACACACATGCACAAACAGGATCCTATGGACATTCACTCATGGAGAGATGTGAGGGACTGCCAGAGCTGTTGGGGGTTTGGCGCCTTTGCACAAGGGGCAACCCCCCGGTTCCAGACTCAAGTCCCAACAGACTGAGCTATTGCCACCCTCAATGTTGATACTAAACAAACATAAAGAAATGCTTTCACTTTTACATCTTAGTAGATTTTATCCTAACTCTGCTTCATCATATAATGCTGAGAATTGTTTGTGTTTACTAAAAGATGTAATATTTCCAGTGCCTATGCACAACAATTCAATATCTATGCCAGTGAAAGAAAGAATGGAAAATCGAAACGGGGCGTTGCGGTATAAAAAATGGCTTGTTTTGTTGTGCTGCTTCATCTTGCAAAGCTGCGGGCTTTTAGGACACTAGTACAGGAAATAGAATCAGGATAGAATCAGGCTGATTTTGTCGCTGATGCTGATTCATGTCGCAGGCTGTTAGGACATGCAAAAAGGCGGAGGGATACACAGTGTGAAAAGTCCCTGTGATGTTGTCCTCTATATCAGCACTCATAGAAGGCCTCTCATCCACGAACTATCTGTAATCTACTCTACATAATGTTATTTGCATTGAATATAAAGTGTTTGTACTGTATTTGACCCTGCAGAAAGAATAAAAATGCAGTGTAGTCAAGGTTGCTTATAAATATTTACTGAATAAGAGAGTCTTTCTGATGGTTCATTATAGTAGATAGACAGTTCATTATTACAAAATCTTTGTTAACATTAATGATACATACATGCACATTGCAAGATAGCTCTGTTTTTTTGTCTTTGTTCATTTGCAGCATATTAAGAAGTGAAATATTCCGTTTGAAAAACGCGCATGTTGTTCATTATTAAGACTTTAGACTTAATTCCTTTGACCCTCTGCCTCCCACCCAGATCTTTTGGCCTGAGGACAATATGCACAGAAGTGTTAAAGGAAATGCACCAAGAACAGATTCTAAAATTGAAAAAAAAATGTAAATGATTATGGTGCTAATAATCCAATGATGTTTATACTCGCCTCTGACAAACTCTCATGAAATAAACATGACATAATAAACATTTCCACATCAGAGCAAACAGTAAGAGAAACACATCAAAGTGTGTGAGTGATAATATGGAACATAAAGAGAAAAATACAGCATACAAATACAACATCAAAGTGTAAGAAAGAAGCTCCCTCCTATTTAATATCCAGCATTTTATTGGGTTTTATTGTTTGCATAATTGCATTGTTGTGTCTATGGCCTGCAGTGTGCTGTTTACAGCGTGTTACTGATGAAACGCCTCTCCTGCTTGTTGCAGTTTTAACCTGGACATGGAGGAGAAGAGAGAGGCCGTCAGCTGGTCCGACCACAAAAGTCTCTCCCTGACTGAGCAGGGGACGCTGTGTGTGACAGGACCCAACCAGGTCTGAGTAATCCTCTTATTTCATCCACTATGTGTTTTCATTGTGGAGGTTTATACCTAAAGGGAATTTAAACTCCAATCTTTATGACTGCATATAGAAGTAAAAGTATATTTTTTTCTGTGTTTATTTGTGCAAAATATGTCTGCATATGCTCGTATTTATGACTGTTTTATGTTCCTGTTGTGTAGGGTTGTCTGACGGTGGAGTTGGAGCGGAGTCCCAGAGGCTTCGGCTTCAGTCTGCGAGGGGGGACGGAGTACAACATGGGTCTGTACATCCTGAGACTGGCTGAGGACGGACCTGCTCAGCTGGACGGGAGGATCCATGTGGGTGCTCCTTTTAATCGACAAACAAACATGTATATTTTAACATCAAAATGTCCAAAGAGCGACTCTTAACATCAGAAGGGTGTATTACTGTACTTCCTGTTGGAATGAGCCACTGAGGTAGGATGCAAAGTGATGCTTCCCACGGGACCATAAAGACAATGGATCAGCATGAGGTCATAATGTGAATATTTGCTGTCAACTTTTTCTTTAGCCAATTAACTTCCACTCACATGACCCCCACTCATGTCATAAGCAGCACCGTGAAGTGGGGACGTGGTGAGTCAAATTTGGCAGGAAAATCTTTTTAGAGCGTCTAAAAAAATCCACATCAAGCACCAACGAAAGTCGTATCACAGAAGTCAGGACAACAAAAATATGACTGAATCTACAACATATACTGTCCCACCATTACTCTGAAACTCTGTAGAGTTTGAGCTTCTCTTATGCCAAGTTGAAACTGTCTCACAATACACAACTAGTCCCACCTGAGTGTGAAACAACAACATGCTGCTAGTTTTCCTCTTATTAGAAGTATAACAGCGATGGGGCTAAAAGTGAAAGGTTTGCCTCAGGGTGGTGCTAAAGAAAAGTCACAGCTCATTAATATCTGAGGTCGTTATCTGATGGGGTAAATGTATTTGCTGAGAGTGTTTCAATAGAATGTGAACATCACTATGAGATATTTCTCTGTGCATAGACGAGTTAAAGCAGAGCTTATTATGGAACTTCTACATAATGAAACGAGTTCTCTATACCTAAATACTTTTCAATAAAAAAAATTTTTTAAAAGATGCTCCATTACCTTCATGATTGATATTATTAATGTAAAAGCTAAAATGACACGACATCCCTCAGTGAGTGCTGGATCCAAAAACACGATCCAGCAAAGAAAAGCAAAGATCCACACACCATGAAGCTCCCGTTTGAAGGAATTATTAAGTCACGTTTCGAGCCAACATGAAATGCTTTTGATAAATCCTTCAAACGGGAGCTTCTTGGTTTTCGGATCTTGTTTTCCTTTCGTTATGATTTATAATATTGAAAAGTACCCGAGCTTTAAACAAACTACAACTCCTCTGCCATATTTTAAACCAAAAGCTGCCTTGGACAAAGAAAGAGAGTAAAACATCGGCACCTAAACAATGCCAACGTATTAATGCAACTTAGACAATGTGCAGGAGTTTGTTTGCAAGTTTTTTAACTGATTTAAAACAAGATATTGATGAATATTTGGTGCCTAGGACTTCTATTTTTGTTGCCGTGATATCAAAACAGGTATCTATATCGTTTGGTGAATGGTAAATGGACTTGACCTGCTTTTACTGTACACTGCAGGTCACACCTACACATCCACACAAAGAGGCTGCTATGTAAAGTGAAGTGAAGTAATGAATCCCTTTCACACACATTTATATGCGAACAACGAAGCAGCAGGAGCAACTTTGGGTTTAGTGTCTTGCCCAAAGACACATCGGACATGTAGCTGCAGGAGCTGGGGATCGAACCCCCAACCTTCCGGTTGAGAGACGACCAACTCTTGAGTACAAACTGAGCCACAGTTTGATTTGACTTGTATCATATCTAATTAGAAAATTCTGGTATTATGACAACCTGAACTTAAACTGTGCTCTGGCTAAACCAGAACTGTTAATATTTGTTCTCTCTGGATCGTATCATCCGCTGTCAGGGACATTTAGCCCGTAATGTTGACATGCCTCTCTCTAGACTCTAGAAGTCTTGAACCGACTGGCCAAATGACAAACTTCAACCCCCGCAGGACCTCAGGCATAAGAAATATCGAGTAAAAACAATCCATTAAAAAGAGTCAGTGCATTGTGGGAAAGCTGATTTGGCCTCACTCAGTATTGTTAGATGCTGTCCAGTGTGCTATTAAACATTTTATTACATTGCTGAAATTAAATGTAACAGTTTTTATATAGAAGAGAGGTAGATCAGAGGCTCGGTTTTTACTGCTGTGTGTGGAATTCAGCAGAGATGAAACTAATGAATTGTGTATCAACAGCTGAAAGTTAAAGTGTTGAGGGTTTAAAGCTGTTTATTTTTTATCTGCTATGTGTTTAGAGTTTATTCGTTTTCATTTAGCAAAGTAATTTCAAGCTCCCTTCACAGCAAACACAAAGAATGAAGAGCTAGTCTCTTGTCTCAGGTTGGATTAGATTTATTGTGTTTTTATTTATTATTCAAACACTGTTATTACCTTCCGTACATCCTTAGGTTTCCATCCATCCATTGACATCAGCAAGCATGCGTCCTTCTTTTGTATGAGACACTGGCCACTTCCAGTAAGGTCACACTGTAACAGATTCTGCACTTTTTCCTCAGAGGAGCTTTTGGGAGAATCAGAATCCCCCCACAGGGAAGAAATTAACACAGTGTCATTGTTATTATTATCAGGGTGAGAGTGGTGCTGAACAGAAGCTCGGAGCGAGAATCAATCTAAGACTTTCCAGATGAAGATCTGTCGGCATGACTTTGCCTATGGAGGGAGGAGAGAAATGTCAACACAGATTAGATCCAGACAGACTGACATGTTTACACATTTTATCCTGAGTTATGTTGTCATCTCCAATAATAGAGGGACCCTTCAGGGTGTTACAAGGCTCTGCGTGTGTGTGTGGAAAGAAATGTATACTATTTGATAATGCCTGTTCGTGTGGAGGCATATTGCTTCTGTGTGTTTGAGTGACAGAGCGTGCTTGCAAAGCGTCGATGTGTGGGTTTCTGTTTTAAAAGAAAAACATTTTCTGCATTGCTAACAGGTTGGAGATGAGATCGTGGAGATAAACGGGGAGCCTGCACGGGGAATCTCTCACACACGGGCTATTGACCTGATCCAGGCCGGAGGAAACAAAGTGGTTCTGCTGCTGAGGCCTGGAGCCGGCCTGGCTCAAGATGGCAGTAAGTTCTGTATGATTTAGTTCATTCTGTGATCGTTTTAACACAAAGAGAAAAGACCATTTCATATTATCTTCTAAAGTTAACTCTTTGATATGGACTGCCTTCAGGCCTAGAAAGCCAACACTTATGCTTAATTATAAATGACTTTTGGTGTAATGCTAAGGATCGCTGCTTGTAGTTTAGATATGTTTTTAATGAATGACATTTAAAGATTCATCAGGACCCAGTTGTTCAAAAGTAATCTGCTGGAATTCAAACAATCAGATTGGATCAAATCTTAAAATTTGGTTGTTAAAAAGAAAAGAAAAGTTTTACAAAATCAGATAAAATCATATAATCCAGTCAGGTTTGGATCTTGAAAAAAAAAGTGTTGTTTAAAACTTTGCAGTCGGATTGGTATAACGTTCCAGCAGAGAGCAGGATTCAGACTGGATATATGACATATATATATATAGATTTTCTCCGGTTCACGTTTAGTTAACGACAAAACAAAATCTCATTCTGCTTTTATTAAACAATCTAAAATATCCCTCATCGAGAATCTTGGACGTGAAAATATAAAAAGGCTGTTCAGCGGCTTGCAGCTTAGCACTTCATCTGATACCTACAGCAGCAGTTTTAGGCATTAAAAATTACTATAATGAAATAACCTATCTTGTGGTCGATGGTCTCTTTTGCTTTTGGAGGCCATAAAGATACATCAGTATGAACTTCAGTCTGTTTCATAACCAATTAAAAACTCCTCATAGTAGCTTTAATACAGTCGAGATATGAGAGTGGTTTCCGTCTTTTCATGTATTTATTTGCTTAATTTACCACACAAAATATCAAACTACTCTTTTATAATTATAGCTTAATAAATATGATTGACAGTCGGGTTTTACCCACAAAGTGTTTGATGTGTTTTGCAGTAAAACTTGAGTTAGCAACAAGAGTGTATTTATCTCCTCGATGTGTTTGCTGGTTTACGAGGCGGGAGCAGCAGTTAAACACATGTTTAATCCACTACTCCACAGCTAATGTTTTGCTAATGATAATGACTCCATTTGCTTGTAAACTGATGAAGCCTGTTTTGGAATTCGGCCCGTGTTGATTTGGATGCACTGTTTTCTTTATTGGGTGTTTTATTTATTCATTAAATCTCTAACCATCTGCTTCCTTGTGACTCTTCTTCTCTTTCCCCTGATGCAGGTAGTACATCTTCTTCTACTGTGTGCTACTACACTGAGCACCAACACTAACATCTTCACTGCTCTTTAGTGGCCTCTTCTCTTTTACCTTGGTAATTCTCTGCTTTCTAACATACCTTACCATACTGTTGACCTCGAGGTGTAATCTATATTTCCCTTCCTTACTTCTCTATATTTAAAGCCTCTGGAAACACAACAATAAACGCTGAGCTGTAAATTACAATAAATGTATATAAGCATCGAAAAACTATTAGAAAGTAGATTCAGCCAAAACACAAATATTGTTGTTTAACTTTCTGTAAACTTAACCAATGTTGGTTTAGTGGCTATATGTCTCATAACATAATCAAATGGCCATTGGTGCACCGTGAGGATTTGAAGTACGCAGGCAAACGAAGTCCATTGTCCATGAAAAAGATCTTAATTTCAGATGGTTTATTTACTAAAAAGCTCGCAAGCAAACTAAAGAACAAAGAAAACCATGGCTCCTGCTGCACTCTTGATAGGCCCATCGCAGCGCATGCTGGTCCTCTACCTGGAGAATTTCAGGAGGACTGCCCCTGAAATCCTCCTGTTCTGGTTGTTCACACAGGCACCTCACAGTGAGACTATACCTGTTATACAGGGGCGAGGGGAGGGGGGTTAAAATGAGAATATTTGCTTTTATTTCAGTGACATGTGTAGCTACACAGAATCACAATATCCACAAAATAAATGGAGAACAACATACTGGCAAACAGAAAACATAATGCGGCTGTTCAATTACATGCATGGAGATCACAATATTGGCGTACAGACAGTCTATGGTCGTGCTCTGTTCGAAGGGAACAAACCTAACCACCCACTCCCAGTCGCTCGAGGTGAATTCTCCTGCTTCCTTCTCTCATCAGCTAACTCGGTCTTTATTTAGAAAAATACCAGTTAGCTGGTAAGAGAAACTTTTGCCTTGATTTGTACAGTAGGACAGATGAATAGAGACGGTAGTGATTGGAGGGAGAGAGTGTGGGATGACATGCAGCAAAGGGTCAAGGGTCATTGTCCAACCAGGGGCCATTGCATTGAGGACTGTAGCCTCTGTATGTGGGTCTCATGCTTTAACGGATGAGCTTAACCGATGCCCCTACACTAAGATTTTCAATATGTGAAAGTTTATTTTCTCTAAGATTGGAATGGATGCTTAATATGACTTTCACACCACATTTCCAGAGGTTTTAAGTTGTGTGTGTGTGTGTGTGTGTGTGTGTGTGTGTGTGTGTGTGTGTGTGTGTGTGTGTGTGTGTGTGTGTGTGTGTGTGTGTGTGTGTGTGTGTGTGTGTGTGTGTGTGTGTGTGTGTGTGTGTGTGTGTGTTTATTTATTCACATGTCAATATTGTGTGCCCATCTGAAATCTGTGCTTCTCTCACAGGTCAACATGATCAAAAACTCATTTCACCCGCAAGCTATTCCGGAGAGGTGTTTTTCTCTGACACATCATCCCCGTCCTCTTCATATCCAACCGGGGCTTCCATGTTTGTTTCTCCTCCCTCCTCCAGCAAACTGAAACATTCCCGCAGCTGGAGCGCCATATCCCCACAGAGTCTCAATTCCCGCAGCAGCAGGGGCTTGAGCTCAGTGGAGGAGATTGGCGAGTGGGCAGACAAGGAGGTAGAGAGGCCTTCTCATGCCTCCCTTGAGCATTTGAACTTCTACAAGAGGACCAGGCCCATAAAAGTCTCCAGAGAGCTAAGCAGCCCAAAGAAAACCGGGGAGACATTTCCTAAAGCCAAAGAGCAACATCACAGTCCCAAAAAGACTGAGAGTCAGGCACAGGACGAAGCACTGAGCAGGAGAAGGACGTCACAGAAGCAGGTGAAAACACGATCCACGAGCCCGAGGAAGTCTCTGCAAGCTGGACAGCAAGTGGCTTCAACCGTGCAGCGCACAGAGCAACAACAAGGACCTCAGAGGAGATTAAAAGACTCTTCCAGCAGAGAGAGCTTGAATCATGAAAAGAGAAACGGCAAAGGGGGGACTCTCGAGATCAGACAGTACTCTCAAGGAAAGGAGATGGAAGGGAGAGGAGATAGAACAAGGTCTGGCCGTGAGCAAGAAAGTGTTCAAAGAAGAGTGGTGGAAGATTCTCAGCACCACAGGGTTTCTCCTAATACAGGGAGACAAGCAGAGAAGGGTACAGGTAAAGACTCAAGGCAGAGAGATGCTATTGGGAGGAGCAAATCTACAAAAGAAAGGAATACAAGTAAAGAGGCAATCATCAGGAGGGAATCACAGTTTTCATTTAAAGATGCGCTGAGTAGGAAAGGTTCTGTTGTTTCACCAAAAGGAGCTGAAGATACATATACGTTCTCCAAAGAAGTCCGTGGTAGGGAGGACTTTGTGGCCTCTACGAACAGTTTCCCAGGGACCCCGCAGAGTCCTAAAGGACCTCTAAGTCCTGGACCTTGGAAAGTACCCAGCTCAGCCAAAATCCTCTCTGCAGCAGAAGTCTTTCGTGACCCTTTGTGATAGAATATTGAATCAACAAGACTAGCGCTGTGCCATGGAATATTTAACAGCACCCTCTGTGGATTGTTTTTCTGAGTTCATCCATAAAACAGAAAAGCTCAACCCTGTGCCACTTTTATTACCTTTGGACCAGATTTGTCTTTTTTGACAAGGTCTTTTTTTGGGAGTCCTGTGACATCACCTGTGGCATGTAGCAGCTCCCCCTCTCCGCCTTGTCCGCTGCTTCAGCAGTCTTTGATGTGGGGTTTTAGCATGTGCGGCATGCTCGGGGCCTTGCCAGAATTTTTTTTTTTTTTTTTTAAATGTGAATATGTGCCAATCCTGGGAGCCTCCTGTGGAACTACGACTACCAACAGCGCTTCACCCATTACAATGCAATGACCCATATGCAAAGAAAGGCCTCTAGCCTGTAGTATACACCACTTAGGACTGTCACCTGGGGTTTCATTTTGCTCTCAAAGTCATTGTGGAATACTTTGACTTGTCTTTTTCTTAAAAAGTTTGCTCAACTGCATGCAGTAGATCCTTCAGTTTGTTTTTTCTGCACGTGTTCTGCACATCACTGAGGATGATCCTGTTTCTTGTTTCTAATTCTCATTCTCGACACCAAGCAGATTTCTAATACAACCCAGCAAGCGCTCACTTTACCAGGGACTCTAGACTGTTCTATGGTTATAGTCACGCCTCTCCTCCGTATAAAAAGTATCATTTAAAAGACCAGAAACTTGTGGTTTGAGATCTTGTTTACCATGTGTATGATAACCAACCCGTGTGTAATTTATTGAGATAATAGATTGATATGTGTATATGTAGCTGTACCAAGCCATTCCACATTTTGATATAGACTTCAAAGATTTGTCCCATGTTATTTGAGCTCTCACTTTCCTTCCAATGTTCTTCGGTGGTAGGACTTACCATGGATCTTGTAGTACATGAACTGTATAGGTAATGTGCAAACTGCTGTACCAAATGTTTGCAATCGCTCAAAACGTGTCTCATTGTGAAATATAATATAATATATATATTTGAATGTGTCATGTTTTGCAGATTCTAACTTTTAAAATATCTATTGAATTCCATTGCACTGCATCTGCCCTTGTAGCAAAACAGAATGACCATGAGTCGTATTTAATTCGTGATGTTGACTTTCTACCATGCATTGCCATTTTTTTATTTTTATTTTTATTTTATAAAGACAATTGAGTTTTTATTGTAAGTTTTTTTTGTCAATCCTGCTGTGTGATTATGTGCCAGGGTATAGCTTGAAGGATAAAGGAGCTTTGAGAGTTATGTGGAGGTTTAGAAAGATATAAAGCATGCTGCTGATTTAAGACAGGTTTACAGGGATCCAATCTTCCAACACACTTTAAGGGTAGTTTAGCTGTAGGCTTTAAAATACACAACAACATGCATCGGGTCAGTGAAAGTGAGACATAAGCTGTGTTTCCACCAAATGAAGCTGGAACTTTAGTCCCAGGAGCAAATTGTCAAGGGATTAACATTTTTGGTAAAACAAGTTTATTCTGTTCAAGAACTAATCATCTGTGTTCTGTTAGTAAAAATGTTCAGCAATGCAAGTCCAACCTGCAAAGTCCCAGTATAAAAAAGGACCCTCCCCCAGGCAGGAAAAAGTACTTTGGACTCTATTTAAAAAGCACGTAAAACCTTGGAAAGTCCATAAGTCCGTCATGGGAGGTTCTCAGGAGGCAAGGCATGATGTAAAAGAATGCTGAAAATGTTTTGCCTTCATATCAATCCGACATGAAATTGGACATATTTATAATATCATAATATGATATACTAATTGCAACCCCTTCCAACTTACCACTTGAACACTTTTCTGACTTTTACCTGCTGTGTTAAAAAAAATTTTACCAGAAAGCTGGCAGGGAAAAGTCAGAGTAGTCAGGGTAAAGTCAGGAGGAGGAAAGTGGCAGTTTGCGTTCACCCAAAAATTACTGAGCTCTGTTCATGTGTGAAAACACCAATAGTCAGTTGCTATGTGAGTCCTCTGAATAATGTGAGAACTCAATGAATCTTCAAGTCCTCCCTCCAAAGTCACGGTACTTTCAGAAGGTACTAACTGACTTGCAGGAACCTGTTGGGTTGTAAAAAAAAGTCCCAGACTATTTTGAGGTGGAAACGCACTGAGAACCTTCTTCAGTCCAAAGACCACGGGGAAAGTTCTGGCAGTGGACACAGCTATAGTCTTGTTTACTCTTAGGTTGGTTTCCAACAAAAATACACAGAACTTTTAATGCCAGAGGTTATTTTCAAAAAATGAAAAGGTAGTGGTCTGTATCTCCCCATTGGTCTTATGACCCATGAGCATGAGCAAATGTGCTGATGTGTAAAAAGTTTGATGCAAGTACTCAACCATGTTCAGCTGTGCAAGTTCCGCCCCTAAAGTCCCAGTACTTTCAGAAAGTACTACTCCCCTAGCAGGAACTTTTGGGATGTAGAATAAAGTCAAAGGGACATGAAGTCTTTGGGAAATTTTGTTTTCCAGGACTTTATCCACCCCCTGATTCCCATTGTGAAATATGAATACCTCCTAAGATCAAAGTCCATGGGGAGGGTTCCAGCAGTGGAAACGCAGCTTTAGTCTAATTTCACTGTTTCTTTAGTTCATTTTTGATGCTATTGCTGTGGAATCTGAAAAAGTAAATAAACTAAACATACCCGCTGATACAACTCAAGAGATTAAGATTTATATTCAGATGAGCTCAGGGAACACAGCGTAGTAGCAAAGGTGCATCACTGTGTGTCAAGTCAATATCAATGAAAGTCAATGGGTGCTTATGTTCTGTGAAAGGCAGTGATGTGGGCCTGTGATTGTAAACGGGTGTTTTCAGGTTAAAAATCACTTGAGGATGTGCCATGAGCCCATCTGTGGTAGGTGTTTGTGCAATAGTTGGGTTGGTAAAATAAGTTGATCCAACCTTGAGTGTCAGGTACAGGCAGTTCACTCTGGTTTAACAGATAATGCCCTTTTTTTTCTATGTCCCTTTATGTCACTTTTGTTCTACTTATGCTTTTATTTTCACCGTTTTCTATCTAATTTTGGTGTCATACTGTGGCCTTGCATCGCTTCATTAGAAAAACAATCCTTGTGGTTTCTTCTACATTCTGTAGGGACGGTAGATGTAAATGTTTGTACATTGTACAGCACCTTTATAAATACTTGCTGAGTGCTCTTTCTGCGGGGAAAAAATAGAGGTATATTAAAATCGCTCCATTATTTTTTTATGTAAAAAAAGAGGAAATATTTAAAAATGGATTGAAAAGGATAGACTATGACCTTGACATGGTGTTCCGTTCATGCACTGAAAAATAAAGTTTTACTGAAAATACTATCTGGATCTCTTTCACTGATAATAAAACTCACAAAGCACAATATTTCAATTTAAAACATCGTATCTGTTTCTGAACATTATGTTTTTGGAACTGCTGAAGATGTGAAAGGGTGAATGGGATTGTGCAAAAGCACTTTGAGTAGTCAGAGGACTAGAAAGGGGCTATACAAGTCCAAGGTTTGTAATGTTGCAGTTCTGATTGAACGTTTAAAATAGTCTACACATTCTTGATCCAACAAATTTATAGTACTGTGCTTTTTTTCTGGGGCGGGGGTCTTTCTATGCCTTCATTTAGAGATAGGACAGTGGATAGTGTCCGCAATCGGGGCGAGTGAGAGTGGGGAGTAACATGCTGGAAAGCAGCCACAGTTAGGATTCGGGCCACCCCCTATAGGACTCAAGCCCTCCGTACATGGGTGTGCGCAGTAACCACTAGGCTACCAGCATCCCCCAACAGTAAAGTTTTGAAGTTATCCTAGGAGTCAAAAAGATTCAGTTGGGTTTGTACTTGCTAGTGTGTTCAAGCTAATCAGCAGATTAATGATTGCTTTCCTTTAGTTGTGGATAAGAAACAGAAACTGGATGATGTGTAGGTTATATGAAACAGACTGCTTTCTCCAGTGTTTCGGTTTAAAGGCTTAATATACGATTTTTTTGATCCAGCAGATGTCGCCCTTGAGCACCAGCATGAAACCAAAACAACTTGCGCTGCATTGTTATGTTAGCATGCTAATGCTATCTTTATTATGCTCGTATCTTCACACTGCATGTAAATTTACCCAAAATGATCATGATCTAAAAACGTTTACATGACATTCAATTAAGCAGTGAGTACAGTATGTTATTCTTCTTTTCTCTAGTCCCTCGGCCGGCCAGCCATCACAAAGATGTAAACTAAGTGAAGCTACGGGAATGCTCTGAAAACATCACAGACAGTGGGACTCAGGTGTTACACCCATTGTAGACAGTCATGACTCACAGAGTTATTTTCAGAGGATATATTGCGTTCTATTACATTTAAGTGTGAAAAATCGCATATTAAGCGGGAGGGAGGGACTGTGATAACAGGTGACTCAGTCGAATGTGTCTGTGGTTGTCGTAGTTTCAACAAGTAAGGAGGAACGGAAAGATGATAAAAAGCTGTCACCATGAATGGCTCTTTGTTTAGTTTTTCATTAGATAAATGTCTGGTGAGTATATTTTATAATCTAAAAAAACTCCTCAAAAAGGCATTAGCATGGACAGCTACATTCCCTGTCCGTTTTCAGCAGTTGTAACTACCGCATTCTGCTGAAGCCGATACACCAGGATGCTGATATCCACTGAGGCAGAGGATATGTGGTAACAAACATGATGATGATAAAATGAGAATAATGAGGAGGAGGAGGATGGGGAAGAAGACAATGGTCTGAAAATACAACATTAATATCATATTAATGTTGTAGAAACACAAGAAAATAGAAGTTAATAGCTGTTTTTCGGGCTAACGTTAGCAACAGCAGGAAGGTCGCTGCTAGCTAAAAGGAATCGTGAATTAAGGTCAGATGAGTTTGCTTTTTCTTGAAGCATTTAATTTATAGAAGTTTTTGCTGTGAGATAGCAAGATAGATAAAATGTATTAATAATAATATTTATTTATTACATTTTTATTTGTAAAGGGCCCATGTACAATATTCAACATAAATGCTAGCATTTGCTACATTCTGGTACAATATTGTACCAGAGTTAGCGTAAAGCTTATTTAATTCTTTAGTCCCTTAGCAGGTTAATCAATGATCCTTTTTTGGTTTCTATTAAGGGTTTGTGATGGTGTATGTGTGCTTTCCATGTGCATTTGATTTATTTATTCTTAACAGGTGGTATTTATAGTTCTTGTGTCGTACCTCACATTTTCAGGTCTTTACCCAGGGTAGTGAATCTCTGTTGTTATATTACATTTTTATTGTTTGATTTGTCAAAAATCATTAGCACCTACTTTAAACAACCTAGAGGTCAAACAAGGTGTCTGATTCTACCTCAGGGATCTCCAGCTGATCTCTGACCCGCTCTTTTCAGTTAAGGGCATCTTAACGGGAATATTTGTATCGACACAGTTGTTAAATTGAACTGTGAACGGCTGCCATTAGCCCTGCTACAAATGGTATCATTCAGAGTTACAGTCGTAAAAGGGTAGGTGTAATGGCTACAGAATGGCTGGTAATTGCATGTGGTGTGATAATGGACTAAATTACTTTAAAATGGCTTCAATATGATACATACTTTCGTTCTATTTCAGGCACAGGCGTATAATAAAGTCTGGAAGAACCTACGATTACACAGCTGAGGTATGTTCTTCTGTGAATGATTGTTTTGAACTTCATTTGAAACTTTTCAGAAGAAAGTCTAAATGTTAAGCTTCACCTTAAAGTGTTTCTTTTGTCTGTCTTTAAAGATAAATATTCTATCTTCTGTTTACCTTAAGAGCAGATAAGAGACAGACAGAATCAAACTTTCTTTATTCCAGTCTGTGCAAAAGTAACACCAGATTTTTTAATTTTGATACGATTCAAGTAAAAATCCAATGAAATAGAAACTTCTTACAATATCACAGCAACAATAATAGAAGTCCTAGAGACCCATTATTTGGCCTTTTCTGGTTTTCAATCACCACAAACTCGTGCACACTCTCTAAATTCAAAATTCAAATTCTGACGATGATATGAGATTTGTAGGGTTTCTTTTTTTAGTCTTCTGTACTTTTCAATATTATCGATCTTAAAGCTTTAAAGAGATTGTTTTCATTTGAAACACGTGGAATGAAAAAGTTAGCATCAAAAATGTTGACAACTTTAGTATGTATTAATAAATAGCTGCTTTTATTTATTTTTTGGAGGGCTTTTTGTGCCTTTAATGGAGGGACAGGACAGTGGATAGAGTAGGAAATCTGGGAGAGAGAGAGTGGGGAATGACATGCGGGAAAGGAGCCACAGGTGGGATTTGAACCTTGGCCCCCCGCATGGAGGACTATAGCCTCCATTCATGGGGCACGCGCACTAACCACTGTGCCACCAGTGCCCCAATAGCTGCTTTTATTGAAGTCTGTGCCATAACAACACCATCCTCTCCTTCCATTTCTTCACAACAACAACAACAACAACAAAAACACATCCAGACCATATTTCCTTTCTAAGTGTCAAACTTATGCTGTGTGCTCGTGCTTATTGTAAAACAAACAATCCTCTAAATGTCAGGATGTGTGTGTGTGTGTTTGTATTGTTTTAGGGACCAGAGTTGACATGATGAGTACTGGGTGTTACATTTCTGCTCCGTGCATTAATGAGAAAGAAGTGATTTTTTTTTATTACACATTATTTTACCATTCAGGAGTATTTGAGCTGCTGTTCACCATTTACACCACTAGATGTCACCAATTTACAGTGAATGGCTACGTATAGATGAAAATGTCTGGGTGAAGGGAGCTGGGTTTATTCTTTGCTGGGGTTAGAAACGGTTTTAAGAGAGCATCATAAGAAGTAAAAGATTTTAACATGTTTGTGGAAAATGCATGTTTCTGGTTGGCAGGAAATATGTATCAATGAATTATATTAATGAAAAATTATTAGGGGTATAGGGATGGGCAATATGGACCAAAAATGATATCTCAATATTTTTTTAGCTGAATAGTAATACACTATATTTTTCTGTAAGGAGATAACACAGACACAGTAGGTTTTATTTCAAATCCACATGAGCCAATTTCTAATTGTCAAACAGGCAATTATTTTAACAGTAAGCTGCACAATGTCAACGTGTACATGAAAAGATAATGAAGACTACCCATTTGTTAAATAAATAAAACAAGAAAAATCTCTTTAATACAAATTAAAAATGTTTGTTTCCTGAATTACAAAATACATACAGCTGCCTATTCTTTTTTTTATGAAGGTAGATTTTGAGTTTTGCTCAGAGAGGGAGGGAGAGCAGGGAGAAGAGGGACAGCCATCGAGAGGAGAAAAAGGTGAACTGGTGGATCTACAGAAGGAACATATAATGTTATTTTAATGCGTCATGAAAGATATCGATATAAACGATATTGTCTTACCCTATATGTAATTTGAAAATATATCAATGTATCTTAAAAACTCAACATAATGCCCAGCTTCATTAAGGGTCATATTAAGGGATTCACAGATCAAGATCCTTCGCTGACATTGTTTGAAAATACAACAAATAATAATTTTAAACTCTTGCGAAACGAGTGGTTTCCTTTGCTTCTGAAAAGAGAACTGATACGTCTTATCAAGGCTTTTGACCCTGCAGCTTCTGTGAAATCTGGATGAATGAGAAAAGAGACCATTTCTATGAAGAAGAAGTTAAAAGATGTCCTTTGTTCGGTAGCATCTTTTGTATCAGACACATGTTTAAAGATACACAGTATAAAGTGTAAAGTGAGGCCTGCTACTCCATCACATCCTCAGAGCATGAGAGAGGTGAACTGTGCAACAGCAGACAGACATGTTGCTGTTGGAGCCCCTTTCATCTATCATCAGACGTGAGGAGAAGCAGCTGCATTCTTCTTGGCTCGTTTTTGAGACGGGAGGTGTTGTAATCTTCCACTCTGGCAGGGTGTCTGCGGAGATAAGAAAAGCAGGTCATGCCACGTCTCTCGCACTTCTAAAGAAGTGGGAAGTTACCAGCTGAACGCCATAAAAGGACATGAGGGGGCAACACACAGTTTTTTTTTTACAGGTGGATTGTGCTGGCCGGGGAATTTTCCAACCACATACCAAATTAAATCTCCAGTTTCTTTTACTCTTAAGTGATGTAATTAGCATTTACAAGAACACTGAGTCTCCCCCATACTGATGTTTCTTCAATGCTTCAGAAAGAGAATACAGCGTGCGAGGGCCACTAAACTTGATTTGCACTGTGTTGGCAGGTTTCTTTGTAATCCGTCTGTGCGTCTCCGTGGAAACCCTGGGTGGAGGAATGAGAAGGCCCCTGTCAACAAACTTATGAGGTTTAAAAAATGGGCGGTGGTGCAAACTCCTTGGAATTTACCCCAGTTTGTGTGTGTGTGTGTGTGAGGCTCAGCCCTGTTGTTGGAGAAAACTATGAAATGTATCCATGACAATAACACAAATGCCAGAAAGTGACTCAGACTCTTAATGAGGCATGAAATACAACAAAAGAAAAAACAACTGAATCTAAAAAATCATGACTCAGAATCACTTCTCCTGAGGTTTATTTCCCCCCCAAAAAATATGATCAGCACTATTGTTATTTTTCTTATATTAGATTTATTGTGTCTACATGTCTTAAATTTGGATTATTATGAGCTTGACCACGGGTTCTTGTTGTCACTAAAAAACAACGGAACAGTAACAGAAGAAAAAAGGGAAGGTTCCCCCTCTCTCGAAGAGGAATACCCCTTGTTTCCAGGACACACCCATCATATTAATGTTTCCCTTTTTTTTTTTCCACTGTTGCAACACACAAGGAGACCTCTCCGCTTCGCACTGGAGATGGGATCAGACTGGGCTGCTCTGACATGGTGGTCAAACTGGGAGTAGCCTATGTGTTTATGCAGTGCTCATTCAAAGAACACTCACTTCTTTAATCACATTTGTGTCCACGTCTTTTTCATTCACAAGTCTTTGTTCACGCTGGGGAGGGAGTGTTTGTGTTGTGTGCGCCTGCCTGTCTTCTACTCCGGCGCCGGGACATGTCAAGTTAACTGCTTTAGACGGAACATTTCCTGTCTGGCCTTTCAGAATAAGAATAAGCTGATAAGTTTTATCAGCATCTGGAGCCAGGCAACTACTGTAGAAGGACAGACAGCTATTGGTTTGTTTATGGTTTTTTTTTTTTTTAGTTAAAGGGCTCAATGACAAGTAGGCCTAAGATATTTCTACACTACATAAGCAGCAAAACGACACAAAAAGTAAAGAAAGATAATAAATAAACATGAAGAAAACACCCAAATCTTAATTGTATATAAAATCTAACAATGCATCCTTAGGTTCAAGATAGAAAGCAGATATAAGCGTATAATGGAGGTCAATATTATGATTTATCCAATTCACAATATTCTGTGTAGAAAGGTTTAATAATATTTCTTAAAGTAGGGCCAACAGTGATTTGCAATTTCATCTTTCTTGCATTAGCATTAAATATGTATATATATATATATATATATTATATATATATTTTTTTTATTATTATTATTTTTCTTTTAATCTAATTTAGTGGTTAAAATAAATTATTTCTGAATTCAAAAGAAACATTGCAAGCTGCGTATTGTGTAAAAACATGAAAAACGGCATATTAAGATTCAATCTGTGAGTAAACCTTAAGTGCTCTTTGATTTGTGTTTATTTATCACACTTCATATAAATATTTTAGTATTGACCAACGATATCTCACATCTCATGTTTCTCCTAAATGTGCATGCCTGGTCAAAAGCAGGGCTAATTATAATGAAAAGTTCTTGCGAAAATATGCTTTTATTGTGAAGGCGGTCTTCAAAGTGCCTGTCCTCGTGGCCTTGAGAGGAGTGAACTTGATAAGCCGGATAGTACCCTGTGGTGGTGCGTAGTGGTGCGTTCAGTGCGGGATCAGTGTTGACCGGCCGCCTGAGGAGAAAGTCATCGTCTCTCAGGATAATTTGGAATTAAAGTGTCCGGATTTAAATCCGAAACTGGATCTTAATCTCCTCCTGCAGACCGACATGGACGTGTTACTGAACACCTGTGGACGGAAAAGAGTCCAAACTGTGCTCTTTGTATTCCTCCTCGTCGTAAACGCAGCAGGTCAGTATATAGCTGAAGTTATGATGAAGCATCAGCCACGCTGTCTGGTTAATGAGATAATATTTATCAACGGAACGAGTCTCATGACAGCTTCTGTTTTAAAATATAACTTCAGTGTATTGCTGTTAGGACTTTATTCCTCAGATCAGAAATCACTGGAAAGCCTATCTTTTTTTTTTAAATAAGCGATTTATAAGAGTCTAAACGCTGACATACTAACTGAATGTAAATTAAATATACGAGTTAACTTTGTTTTTTTGTTTTTTTTTAAGATATTGATACATGAAAACTGTTCTTTGTAAAGTTTTAACTCTGGGGGCTTAAGTTTTTTTTGTCTGTTTAATTTTAGCACTGATGTCATTATCAGTGATAGTATTTTTTCTATAGCCTACTGCTTTATATCATTTATATTTATTTTTTTATGTTTATAAATGTGAACGACAGAAATCATCAATACAACATCGTCAGACTCAGACGTTGACCTCAAGTACATTTTATCGGCATCGAGGTGTCGCTGATGAAGAGGCTCTGAAGTGGGAAGAGGTTTTTAAGTTTTTAAATTCCAGGAATATTTTATTCACCAAGACAACATGAGTCTTCACTTCCTGGGAAGATGACAATAAAAAGCAGACTGTATTCTTTTTGGAAGACATCTGATTTTTTTCCCAACAGGCTTTCTCTTTCTAATAAGAGAACTTTTACAAAAGCTTCTAAACTTGTAAGTTAAAAAGACATTCTCAAGTGTTAAAGCTGCGATCTTAAAGATTACAAATCCTTTCTGATGGCTTTTTTAACATCCATGAATACTTAACACACTGGTTCCCAACCCTTTATCCTCTGAGCTAAAAAAAAAAAAAAAAGCTGAGAAAAAAGTGAAACATTGATAAAATCAGAATATGCAGACACACTGTGTTGTTCTACCAAAATACATTTATAGACATTTCCCAGTAATGTTTTAAAAGATTTTATTTAATATGTGCAAATCTCATTTTGACATACTCAGAGCAGCTTAACTTGTCTACATTTCTAGCATCATGTTGAATGGTATAAAAACACAATTTATTCATTTTGACATTTTACAATTGTATCTGAAGATGAATCGATTTAAAACCCTTATGACTTATATAAGTTTATAAGTGCTGCCTTAATATTTTACCTCCCTTTAAAACAACATACTTTATAAACAAAAAAAACTTTTGAGTGACGTGAAAATATTTGACCTGCAGGTCTGATGACCTGTTGAGGAACCTGAGAGTATTACTGACAGTGATAACTGCATTATGACCCAATAGACACACAGCCATTTATATTGAAAGCTCATAAAGATAAATCATTTATTTATGTTCTAAATTACATTTACCACATTAATAATACAGTTGTTAACACTTTATAAATGGCTGCCTCACCACAAAGACAGACCTTTCATGATATGCAAAAACTGAAGGTTTTGCACAAAGGGAAACCAAGACTTGACTTTTCCCTCACTTGCTTTGTGTCATCTCTAAAAAATAATGATATTAAGTCCTTTATTAGTTTTCCTTTATGGTTATTTAATCACAAACAGTCATTCAGGTAACCGGTCTTATTGACAAGACCTCGATCATCTGACCTGATTCTGAAACTAAAAGTGCCCATGCTGATTTAGTCTATTTTGTTTTCCCCACAGCTGAGTGTCCGAAGCCTGAAGGAAGAGACAGTATCATCTTAAGCGAAGCAGCCCTGTTGATGAATGACTTTCCCGAGGGCTCTGATGTCAAGTTAGAGTGTGGTACTGGATTTGAGACAGATAGTGGCTCTGGAGTTATAACCTGCATCGACAGGAAGTGGACTGAACCAGATCTCATCTGCAAAAGTGAGTCCTGTTTTCATAATGCAACTTTTATCAAACTATCTAACATTGCTGACAGTGAATGTCAATGAATGCCCGTTAATTCAAGTCAGATTTAATACTCTGTTTTTATTTTGCAGAGAAAGACTGTGGTCCCCCTACACCTTTCCCCAATATGTCCTTTGATTTGAGACAAGGGACCCTGTTCAGAGCTGTAGCAGTAGTCATTTGTGATAAAGGGTGAGTTTAAAATATCCCAAATCTAATTACTATCTCATTGACATGCGTCTAAAAATGACCTTAGTAGGTTCTTCTTAACTCATAGACTGTGTAAGAACTGGACTCGGCCTTTTGATTTTAAAAGTGAAGCAAATGCAGAAGTGCCTTAAACTTGCATTCTTTCTGTTAGCCAGCAGGGGGCGACTTCACTGGTTATAATCTGTAGACTGTATAAACATATGGAAAACGCACCTCAACCTCCTCCTGATGTACAATGATAAAGCCAAAATACCCATGTGAGGACTGCTGGTGTATTGTTTAACTGAAGCCAGAGTATGCGCTGTAAGAGCCGCAGTTTTTAGGTCACGCCCCTTCTGCTAAAAAAACCCCCAACACATTTAAACTTAACAAAAAATTGTCAAAGGTCCCTCAGGTCAGTACAGCCCACAGCAAAAAGATTCATATGTCATTTTGAAACAGCCAGATACTTACAGCTATTGAAAGTTTAACGACTTGTGCTAGTGTTCGTTAAGTTCCCTCTCGCAGTTTCTCCTCTTCTCTGCTAATCCAGTGGACAAAGCGTCTCAACAGAGATGTCAATCACAGCGTTTTATAACTGTTTGTATCATCTAATTAATTTAAAGAAAGACACTTTTCGGAAAAAAAGTTGACTTGAACACAAACTAGCATGACAGTAACTATCATGATGAAACTGGGTTTAGTTTAACCCACGTCCCATGCATTAACATGGAAGTCGCAGGTTGTAAAACCTATACCGCCAGTCAGGGAGCTCTAAATCTTTTGGCTTCACTTGAGGTGAGGTTTTGCACTCTCCATTCTGTATAAAGTCTATGGGACAAACACAAGTTAAATTGTGTATAACCACATGAGAAAATGACCACGCTTTCTAGTCGACTAATCCTATTTTTATGACCCCAATGACCAGTATCAAGTCTTCTTATAACAGCACGCTGCTCACATCTTTTTAAAGGTGTGTATATCTGTGATTGACACGTTGCTACCTCAGCAATCTTGAAAGACAGGAAACTATGTGGTTCTCATCTTCTAAATATGAGCACTCCAATTCCAAGAAAAAAGATACCAACATTAGTAGAATGGGTGTGTATGTGACTGCCGGGACTTTTGGAGCCAGCCTCAAGTGGACACTTAAGGAACTGATTACAACAGCCAAAAATACCAAACGCAAGCTTCAAAACATTGGTCTCAAAAACACATTCGTCTTGCCCACTTATATATACAGTCTACATCTTAGAAGTGGCAATGAGCAAAATAAATATTCTAATAGACTAAATCTTCAGCCTGTCCATCTGCTTCCTTGTATCACTCCACTTAGTCCCTCCCACCAAATGACTCAACAAACATGCATGCCAACAGGTGTCACTGCTAACTGTATGTTTCACTCTGACAGCCAATCAGTATGATGATTTCCTGATGCGTTTTTTAAAAAGAAATAAATACAAAGACAGACGATCAAACATCGATCAGACGCACAATCATTCAAAGAACATTTCAATATAATTTAGTCAGTGACGTGTAACGTTCAAAATGAGTTATTTTTAGCTGCATTTCTAATAAAATAATGCTAGTGAAGCTTTAACCTGGGGAAGCAGGTGTTGGCACGGAGACATCACACATCCTGTTTATTTAGATAATAACTACAAAGTTCCTCTATTTGCTATAGCACCAACAGACGTCTCCTGGCAATCAGGACTGGTGTATTGAACTTGAGGTGTTTGCCTGATGAAACACGTCTCTAAAGAAGTCTTGAAAGACAAACATGGCAGCGGCTAAAGAGCGTTACATCATAGTTTCACTGATTAGAAAAACCGGATCTCCTTTCACAGACAGCGAGCAACGTTGATACGTAGTTCATGACTAAACTAGAATTTAGGTTTCATTTACCTTCTTATTACAGTGAAAATCCTGGATTTATAGTGTCAATTCCTCCTCAAATAAACATTCCTGCTTGTTTTCTTGCTTTTTTTTCAAACAGCTACAGGGTCATCGGATCCAGTTATAAACAGTGCTTCTCGCTAGGGTGGAGTGGAAGAGCAAAATGTGAAAGTAAATCTCTCTCACTTTTTATCTTTTGGAATACAGAACTAGAAACTGCAGAACATTTATAAAGTATAGTCCTGTTAAAAAAAGATTCCAATATAAAAGCTGTTAAGTTTACATCATAACAATATGGATCATTTGTTTTTATTGTGAATTATTTTGCAGTCAAATGTGTGTTTCCTTGATCCTCAGCTATAACCTGTAGTAAACCTGGTGGAGTGACCAATGGCAGGAGCTCCTGGGATTCTCAGGATGAACCAAAATATGGAGAGACTGTACAGTACGTCTGTGATCAAGGATTCAGTCTCACTGGGAATGACAGCATCATGTGCACTGAAACGGGTGCATACAACGCCGAGCCTCCTAAATGTGAAGGTAAGCTCACTTTATACTTGTGTTTGACATTTGCTGATGAGAGGCAGACTGACGAGGACAAAGCTGAATGTCTTTCAATCATTGTTGAAGTTATTAAGGGGCCTCACAAGTTTACTTTTGTATGTTTCAACCCATCATTTACAATCCACTTTACATTTTTCAAACTGTGACTCACATTTGTAGATTTCCAGTCTTCTACACAGACGCTGGCTTATATTCATTTCACTGCAATGTGAAAAATCAACTTGCAGAAACTTATTCAAGATTCAAACATGCACTGTGAACATCCTGCTTTTCAAGCTGGTGCGTTCAAGTACATTCAGACATCAGTGAGATGCATTCACAGGCAATTGAATTGAACATAGAGAAGACTGAAAGTGAGACTAAACCTTTTTGGATTTTTTTTTAAGAGCAGTATGCTAGCTAACGTTAGCCATATGTTGTTTCTGGAAATATTATCATTCCTGGAAAGTACTGACAATGTCGGGCTAACCTGGATGAATCTGCAAGACATTCCAGAGGTTTAAAACTGAATCTTTAACCCCCTTGCATTACCACATAAAGCGTGAAAAAAAGTAGTGCTGACCAAGGTCAAACAGGATTTAAAATAGACCATAACTCCTGTAAATCTGCGCCCTGCCCGAGGATCAGTCTGTGCCAGGAATCCAACTTGTGAATCTTCAGTTTCTACTTGGCTTCTTCCTCCTGAAGGCCGCACAGAGCTCACTAACAAATCTCAGATATGAGAGTGTTGCAACTAAGACGAGTGTTTAGCAAGTAGCAAAGTTCAAGTGAAAGTCGATTTTCATACTGTTGAGAATCAATTTAAAACTGTGGCTGCCTGGAGTATCATACACCAAAAACACCTGCCATGCTTTGAAATGTTGGCATGTTATGTGTGCATGATGTAACAGTTACTGTGCTAAAACATGCAGACGTGGTCCTATAATCACATTCACACACTGCGTGATCAGCTGTGAGTGTGCAATGCACCTTCACGCATCGGTAAATACTGCACTAAATTAAATAAAGAGCACTCATACTGTAGCTGTTACTAAGGACACTGAGCATTTCTCACAGCTGGCAGGTTTAAACATAATCACTTAAAGCCCTCTCACAAACTCCTCTCCAGACTCAGAGCTCTACTCTCCATTCATGTGTGTACTCACTGCACGTTTGTTTGTGTACTAACTGCTACACTTATCCTCCCAAGAGCTTAACCGTGTATTAAATCAGGAGCAACCTTTAGAAAAGAGTTGGTCTAGATTGACTTCACCAAAGTAATTGATTAATTAATTAATCCCATTTCATTTCTTTCTGTGACCCAACATTTAGTACAAAGAGAAGCATGGCACTGATGCAAAACTTTTGTTTGCCGTTCAAACACTTCCTGCATGTTAAAATAAGACTACGTGCATGCTCCTCTGCCATTGTTTTTTAAAACTGCTGATGTTCTTTATTTAAAGGTCAGAACATTTTAAAAGTGTTTTTATTTGTAGGTGTGTCAACAAATGATAGAATAACAATGACAGTGTTTACACCAACACCTGCAACAACAGAACAAGGTATACAGTACAAACATTTTACAAGCAGAAATCGATGATGTATGAAAATGCTTAACATTTTAAACTCAGATTTAAAGATCAAATGATGTATCTTGGGACAACTTCTCTTTGTAGGTGGCAGAGATATTTTGACGACACTTTCACCTATCAAAGACACAACTGTTACAAACAGTGCAACAACTCCTCCACCTTCACTACAAGGTACAGAAACCTGTCTGAAACCAAGTCAGCCAGCATGCTATTACGTTTAAAGAACCTTTAAAGGAAGAATGTGCAACTTTTTAAATCCGGTAGATGTCGCCCCTTGAACAACAGCATTAAACCAAAACAAACTGCGGTTTGGCCACACCTCCACTATTCTGAAGCCTCCGCTCTCTTCCAGCGACACACCTCCATGCTTTAAAATGCTTAACATTTTAAACTCAGATTTAAAGATCAAATGATGTATCTTGGGACAACTTCTCTTTGTAGGTGGCAGAGATATTTTGACGACACTTTCACCTATCAAAGACACAACTGTTACAAACAGTGCAACAACTCCTCCACCTTCACTACAAGGTACAGAAACCTGTCTGAAACCAAGTCAGCCAGCATGCTATTACGTTTAAAGAACCTTTAAAGGAAGAATGTGCAACTTTTTAAATCCGGTAGATGTCGCCCCTTGAACAACAGCATTAAACCAAAACAAACTGCGGTTTGGCCACACCTCCACTATTCTGAAGCCTCCCCCCCCCCCCCCTCCCTCCACTCGCATTCGGACGAAGGAGTTATCAGTTAGAACGCACCATAATTAAGCACCATTAAGCGCAGGCCGCAGACAAAATGTTCCTTTGCTTGAGCTGCAATGGCCTGCATTGTTGTGTTAGCAGACTAATGTTAGCGCTCTTTAGTTAGCTCATATAGCTTCATATTGCACATAAATTGATACAGAATGACTGTGATCTAAAGACACTTATGTGACATCCAAATAAGCAGTGAGTATGTTGTTCTTCTTTTCTCTAGTCCTTGACTGAAACAGCTTTAAACACAAGGCCGTCCAGTCCATGTAAATGCGATGTAAACACAGCTCCAACAACAGTACAGCTGTTCTCACTCAGAGAAGTCCTTACTCAGAGAGACATTTACAGAGGATATACAGAACTTTATTTCTGCTGTATTTATGTGTAAAATGTTGCACATTCTTCCTTTAAGACACAGTATTTGACAGCATGAATGGATTATGTGCATGTTGCATGCAAGTACTGTAGTTCATCAGTTTAAATAGACTTTTTTAATGATCAACACTTGGACTCTTTATCATTCTGATCGTTCTGTTCAAAGGTGGCAGAGGCATTGTGACAGGTGAGGATAAAGATACTCCAACTGCTGTAGCATCAACAACTTCATCACAAGGTATTGAACGACTCAATGGAAAAGCAGTGAAGTTTTAAATCGTCTTTCCATTTGGAAGTTTTAACGATTACAAGCTTAGGTTTAATAACAGGCTCCTGCTTGTGGAAATGTTACTGTACATCCAACGAGCAGATACTTTTCCTATCAGGACTTCACGTTGTACCTTTAAACTTCAGACAGCTGCAGACTTCTAAACTTAGCGTGTGTCATTTCTTCTTGGTCTGAGATGTGTGCTTTCAAACCCGGTGATTTTTATTGGAACGTGTGTTCTTTATGGGAAAGAAATGACCACTCGTGGAAAGTATAAACAGCACATAAGTGAAAAGTAATGACCTCTTTTCTAAGCTTCCAAACGGTTTACAAGAGAAATAAATAATCAGCGTAGACAGCGAGAAATTGCTCCATTGATGTTCTTAAAGCTGCTTGGTTTGTATCGATTTGACCCCAAAATGTACCTTTAATCTCTTATCTTAGCTTGCCCTTTGCATTATTAAGTAGTGACTTGTTGTAAATTATCTTATCACACTTCCTTTTAACTGTCAAACAAATGTCTTATCTTGAAATTTTGCCGTTTCGGCGTTTGCCTGATCTGACACCTACCCGGTGGCGGCACTTTGAGGCTTGAAAATAGCAATATATAAAATAATCAATCCTGTTGCCGATGGTATGTTGGCATTTATAGATCATATAGAGACAGTAGTATTAATTTGTGTCTGCTTCACTACCAGCTTAAAACTCCTCACATGAAATTTAAAATACAAACACGAACACATTAAATGTACAGAGAGAATGACATTCTGGGAAATACACTTTCTGTATTTGAAGTGTTGGAAGGAACAACATTGACAGTTTTGTGTGTTGAATGAGTTGAGGCTGCTTCTTGGCTCTTAGCAGTTGCTAGGCAACAGATCAGAGAATCTAGGAAGCCTCTTCTCACAGCCGTGATGTAATCTTGCAAATAACCCTTTGTAAATGATTTGTTTTGTTTTGTTAAAGATTAGACAGACAAAGATTAGACAGAGATGACATGTTATGTTGGGAGTTTTTCTGGCTGGATGATTTTGTCTTCCTAGATGTTTCCCTTTTTCCCAGTCTTTGAGCTAAGATAAAATAATCACCTGCTGGATATTGTTCAGTAACAGACACATATGATAGTGGGGATCAACCCACTTCTTTTTACTCTACTAGCTAACCTTATGTAACAAAGTGTATTTCCCAAACGGTCACACTGTCTCTTTTAAGACGGCCTTTCTAATTTGTTGTTTGCAAAGCACAGGACAATCATTTTAATTCACTGACTGGAGAGAACTGTCATTTAATATTATCAGACATGCTTCACTCACTGTCCCTGTTAATATACTAATTAATATTGTGAATATAATTGTGGTTTGTTTTACCCCTCACTGATGTGACATGAAGACACTGAGTCTTTAATCAGCTGTAAACAAAGTTGACTTAAATGATTGTACGAGATGTTCAGTTGTAGTACTCGAAATCGGTCTTGGTCTCGAGACCACTTTCTGATGGTCTCTGTCTCGTTTTTCGGAATCAAACGCATATTTACTCGGTTTTGTCTCAGTGTCAGACTGGGCAGACTCTGGATTTTATATCAAGACCAGTCAAGACCATCACTGACCAGCTTCTTTGTCATGTCATGAACAAATGAACAAATAACTTCAATTCATTTGTGGGTTGATTTTTATCCCCCGGTTACAGCCGCAACCTTCCCGGCATTATGGTCTAAGTGAGTGACATGCATGATGCACACCAGATGATGATTTTTCAGTGATATTTTTGGTCTTAGTTTCGGTCTCGCCCTGCCTTGGTCTTGGTCCTGATTGGTCTCGATATCTAAATGTCTTGGTCTCGGTCTCAGAGCACTCTGGTCTCGTGTATGTCTTGGTCTCCGTTCGTGTGGTCTTGACTACAACACTTGTTTGTACAGATCTTTTTTAACAGAGGTTGATGTTGATTTTAATGCAGCCGAGCTCAGTCCTGTAATTACGGTTCAACAAGCTTGACATATTAATGATACACTTTTATACTTGCAGACATGCATGGTGCAACTGATGAAACCACCCAGGATAACGGTGAGTTCCTGAGCTCCATTCGTACCAAGATGTCAGTATGAGGGGTTATTAATGCCTTTAAAATAACCCTGCATGTGTCTCTTTCAGGACATTTACCTGTTATAATCAGTGTGATATGCACTTCAGCAGGTAATGTAAAAGTCTTTGGTCCAATAATTATTACTTTGTCTCCATTTACAACACAGAACAGAATTAAATATTTTACTTTTTTCTCTGCAGTGGTGTTTGTAGTTGTTATCTGTATAAACAAGTATATCATAAGGAAAAAAGGGTGAGTTTAATATTTTACTTTTTAAATATTTACTGAATGACTCGTATCCGATTCTGCTTTCTATCCTTGCACGTTCTCTCCAATGCACACAGTAACAGGTCAATGTGGGCACCATATTTCTGTGAGCAAATACAGCATGGGTAACTTACTGTAGCTAACTCTGCAGCTGGTTCAGATTCCTCACTGTTTGAGGAAATCTAGATGTCTGTTTTTCCGGACTTATGCTCAGGAGAATGAGGGAAGTCAACAGGAAATCCTTTAGCTAAACCTGTTGTGACATGGAAAACTGTATCAGGGGGGAAATCCCTTCTGGTTAGATATTATCCATGTGTTTTTCATGAGTTAAAAACATATGCATGATGTTTGTAAGTCACATTCTGTCTACACAGAAAGAGGCAGACTTACAATGTCTCTTACATGACATTATTTATGCATGACCTAAATGTTGACTAAAAATCAAAAGATGAAAGAAAGTCACTTAAAGTCTGTGTAAATCTATAAAAATGTTTATTTTAAAGGTCCCAAATTCACCATGTGTTTCTAACAATAATATGCGTCCCCAGTCTTTCTACAAACCCCCCAATTATGAGACCAAGTCCGTCCTCTCCGTCTTTTGCCTGCTCCACTGTTCAGAAAATGTGTGCTCAAACAGGCCGTTTGTAGATTATCACTTGGGGGAGGGGTTACTGCCCTTTGTGATATCACAAGGGGGAAAATCTCCAAACGGCCTGTTTGAGCGCACATTTTCTGGAAAGTGGAGAAGGTCAAAGACGGAGAGGATGGGCTTTTCTCATAATTTCGGAATTGTTAACAGGCTATGGACACATATTAGTGTTTGAAAAACATGGTAAAGTGTTTTTTTCTCAATATGTGACCTTTAAGTTTCAAAATCATGAAAAATTAAGCAGTCATTTCTGATCTGCTATGGGCGTGGCCGTTAAAAATGGCCAAAAGCACGCCCACTCATTAGAAAGACACTCCTTCTAAATGTTCAGACGTGCAGTTCAAATTCTTTATATTTTGTCTGCTGGAGAAGATGCACTTGCAGAATGAAGGCATAGCTAACATGACTGCAGAAACCAAAGATGCGAAAGTGCTCAATAGATTTATATCATTGAAGCGCTATGGAGGCGGGATTAACCAGAGGAAATCCCAGTGCATCATTGAGCCCCCCTAATTGGCCCCCAAAAACCTAAACCTTACAGTGATGAAAAACATTCTTGTGGCCAAAATCCTAAAATTCAGTCAGATGAAGTTTACAGTTTTTTCAGATGTTTCCAGCCATTTTTCCCCTTCATATTTATTGTGTTTGGAGACCAATTTCTGATTTTGCTTTACACTGACTTTAACACTTCTAACACCTGAGAGGTTTCCTTGGTGCATGAAACTTCCATTAACTCTAAAACCAAAGCTTTGCATATTGTAAAAAAACATACAAAAAAAATCCAGATTCTCTCAAAGGTGCCGTCACTAATCTATCTCTGTGGAATGCTTATTAAAACTAATAAGATTGCATCATACGAATAACAGAACTGAGTAATTCTGACACGCATTCCTTATTTGATGACACTTTAGCTCATATGACACCAGGGAGGACCTGAAGCCGGAGTTATTACAGTTCCAAAATCTTTAGATTGCCCGCCTCACTAAGGTACCGGTCAACTTCTGTGTATTTACTGTAATTAAAATCTGATACCACCACAGTACCCTTTGAAAACACTTATAAGCTTTGTACAAGATACTTCCCAAATGTTGTACACTCAGTTTTAATGAGGAGCTAGAAATACATTATAAATGCTAAACAAAGAGTTTCAGTTCTCTTTCTGCTCTGCTGTGTGAACGACGCTCACCTTAAACCCTTCTCTCTTCATGTCTTGTCGACTGCAGCTTGATAAATGGAACGTTGCCTATCTGTTCAAGAGCATCTGTGACCCCGGACAGACGTGCCGACAGATTATAGCGGCGCCTCTCGGGGTTGAAGAAAAGGAAATCTCACTTTACTGTCAATGCACTTCAAAACAGCGGATAACCCAAACTGCTGCATTCGAGGCTCATAATTTAAATCAACTACCGACGATCAGAAAAGCACTTTTTGTAATGATTTATTTTTTTATGACCACTTTATTCTAAGTATTGTAAATAGATTGTGCCACTTTAGTTTCACTATTTTGTATTATTGACTTATTTATGTTGTAAACTGGAATTAACATTCTGGTCGTTGTATTATGAGATTTCTAAAGCTATTTAAACTTTTGAGTTCTGAGTTTTTAAGTGTTTTTGTGTTATTAATGTTGCTGTTTTTGTTAATACACATTTGTGTAAAAGGGATACAAGCAGCGAACACTGTGGTCAGTTCAGTATGCAGACTGTAAGAGCGGCTGATAAAGATACCATCAGCAAAATTCTTCGCCTCCTGACTTTCTTTTCATCATTGTCTATTGTGTTGGAGCTCTTTCTGCAAGCTGTGCAAAAATAATGCAAGCCTTTCTATCAAGAAGAAATATACATTACTGCCCAACAATGAACAGCGTCTACCATGTTTATGCATGCTTTCAGGGAAATTCTCAAGGAATTTTGCTAAATCTTTTTAAATGGGTTAAACAAGACACTACTGGAAGATTAGGTTTTAATATGTTCAAACTTTTGCGACAAGTCAGAAATCAGGGAGAGAGAGAGAGAAACAGGGGAATGACATGCGGGAAAGGAGCCACAGGTCGAATTCGAACCTGAGCTGCCCACTTGAAGGACTATTGCCTCTATGTAAATCTGTCCTTTTTGTTCTGCATTTCATGGGACTATATATTCTGTAAAAAAGAATAAAAGCCTCGATTCAAGAGACGACCTTGAAGCTAAATGTTAAACATTTTTCCCTTTTAACAAAGGAACAGTTTTTAGTCCTCAAAGGAGGAACTCAATGGTAGCATTGATAGTCATGGCAGCAGAGAAAGGCCAGGCAGTAATCCTGGCAGGGGTGTGGACGAGTACAGAGGAAATCCCCTTAATAAAAGTGACTCCACTGTTTCATTGTACCCGGGTCTGCCAGAGGCCTGAACTGTGCCCTCAAGGATCAAAGAAAACGTGACGCTAAATTACTGTCAGTCATGTATTACAGTTTGTGACTTTGACAATAAATGAGCTTCAGAGGGATTAAAGGAGGCTGTGACTAACTTGTGAAATCTGGAAGAGGAAAACATGGCCATAAAGAAGATATGCACTCATCATGGCAGTAATTTATCTTAGTTATGTGGACAGACAGTATGATCAGAAAGGGGGGAGGGGGGTTAGCATTTTTCCCAGAGAGAGAGAGATCTGGATCTGAACAGAAGTGGTAGTCATCAGCTATCCTCCACAACCAGCTCCTCCTGAAAAAAAAAATATATATATGAGGTAGCTGGGGTGCTGGATAACCTAGCAGTTGAGCCCCATGCACAAAGGCGTGTCCTCATGGCAGCGGCCAAGGGTTCGAATCCAGCCTCGGCTCTTTGCTGCATGTCATCTCCCTCTCGCTCTCCTCCCAACTTTTCCTGTCTCTCTTCAGCTGTCCTATCCAATAAGGGCAAAATGGCCCCAAAAAGATATTTTTAAAAAACATACAAAAAACCAGGGAGCCACATTTCTGAACCACATTTTTTTCTTTCATTACAATGACTCCAGACACTCTTGTATGGATTTAGAAATGGACTAAATAAACTCTGAATGCTGAATGCCAAGACGAATGTTTCCAATTCATTTGATACATACTCTCCACTTTGCCAGGGGATTTGCCAAAAACTACATTTCCCAGTAGTTTGAGGACATAATGCAACATTTAAAAAGGTGAAAGTTCAAATCTGTGATAGCTTTTGACGTTAAAATGTCTTGAAATGACTGAAAGTATTGAGAACAAACAGTTGGGAAAACAAGAGGCTCTGGAGACAGACGGTTAAAGAATGAGGAGAATTCCGATTCCGATTCAGTTTTATGATTTGCTTACGTTAGACAAAGAAGTTCACAAATTGAACAGATTTTAAAATGTTTGATTATATCCTTCTAAGTGTGTATATTTATCATTTTGATTTAGCTTCCCACCCTAAGTGTGACATCAGAGCAAAAATGGCTGCCTTGTAAAAACGATAGGATACGATTGTAGTTAGATGGCTGTCAGGACAAAAATACTCCAACTCAGAGAAAAGTTCAAATCATGAGGGTGTAACATGACAATTTAAAAAGGATCAGGTCGAACAATCCCTCATCCTCTTAGGACTGTCCACATACAGTGTAATCACAGTTTATTAGATTAATCACCAGGCCTATAGTGCAAAGTGGAGGACCACCCGACTGATGTCATATTATTTCAGCACCTCTATACTCCAAGAAAAACATCATAGATCATACCAAAACCAAGTGAGCACTCTTCAAGGGTGCACGTGAGGGACGAGCCATGTGAAGCTCACGTTACAGGGCAACCTTTCTAAGTGCTTAGTCACCGTACAGTTAACACAGCGGCTTGACCTCAAAATAAATCTGCCTCTGGCTCAAGGATCCACGTTTAATCCAGTAAGGGACTATTTGAGTGTCATAATGACACAAAAACCTGCTTTACTGGTTCACTTCTGTATCTTACAACAGACTGGGAATTGACAAATCACTTGAGTGACAGCAGGAAGCGTTGCCTGGTTTCCTCCCTCAACAAGTTTTCCATTGCTACAACCACAACCACTGATTCATCTTTCTTCTCTTTCTAAACTTGTTTCTTTTCCCACTGTACTAGTTAAGAACCAACATTCCCAGTCTGGCTCGTATCAGCACTGGCGGAACACCTTTGAATTTTTATTTTGATTCCAAAATATGAGATCATGGAGAACTTGTTTGAACAGCTGAGCACCATTCAGGCATTTTAACACGTTTCCAGGTGTCTGTAAAGCCTGGAGACTTTGTAGAGATGTATTTTATGTTTCACACACATCAAAATGAAAACATGACATTTCTATATCCCTCTTGGCTTCAACAGCTTTATAGTAGGATTTCCACTGGTCTGTATCCTGTTTGTGAAGGACGGGAACATGGTGATGATTAACGTGTCCATCTTCTTTCAGCCAATCCTTTCACAGGAATTCCTTTTGTACCAAACACTTTCACTTTAACTGAACTAAATACAGACTATTTTAAAGATGATGAGGACATTGATGTTTAACTTTTAGCTATAAAAACACTTATTTTAAATGTATGGACACGCTGCGAGTGGTTTACAGTAAAATAGTTAAAAATACCATCATGTTGTTTTAAATACAGTCTTTAAAAGATTTTCAAACATATATCTTTATAACATGTTTTAAATGTTACATTTCATGTGATCATGGGAATCATTCACACATTTAGAGACACAACTTATCTAAAACATTAACATTTCTAAATATAAAAAAAGAAGCCATTAAAAATACATCCCCGTTTGGTCTACAACCTCTTTACATGGGGCGTGCACACTATTCACTAGACTACCAACGCCCAATGATTTCATTTTATAAACTCAGTGTTTTTTCACTGTATATTTAACGTTGATTCACACATTTATAGAGACAACGCCCCCTTTTGTTTTATTGGGGGGGATTTACTTTGGGCTTTTTAAGCCTTTATTGTAATGAAAGGACAGTGGATAGAGTCGGAAATCAGAGAGAGGCAGAAAGAGTAGTAAATGACGTGCTGGAAAGGAGCCACAGCTCGGATTTGAACCCAGGCCGTCCACTTCGAGGACTACAGCCTCTGTACATGGGGCAAATCCGCCACGGGCGCCCCACAACGACTCCTTTTAACCATTTGTACACATACTGTAAGCACACAAAACTTGCGTTTATACTGCTACATGGGACATAAAGATTCTGATTATTATCTGAAGCTGGTGACAGTTTCCTGGTCAAAATATTCAAGCAAGAAAACTCGATGTGACCAGATCAGAGCTGATTTTTCAAGACCAAGACTGAGAAGCATTTTAGTGGTCACGACTTTATTATCATTCAATTAGAAGCCACAGCAAAACAAAGTATCAACTGTGCACACTTGCTATAAACTGTGTCCTCTCAGTTAGATGAGTATATCTGTGGATATCATAAATACGTGCTTAAATCTAAGTTTAAGAGAGTTTATTAGCAGAACAGACACATTTAAAGATTATTTGTGATGTTCTTAATGTGTCACAGAGATCATTCTCTTTCAGGCTGTTTCAAATCAAATACAATGCAGCCAGACTTTAACCTGGCCCAGTGATATGATCTTTTCAATACGATTAGTTTGTTATAGAGTCGGGTCACAAAGAGGAGGAAATCCTCCCGTCAGGCCTGTGTGAGACTCTCCTCTTTATCTTGTTCCAGACATGTGTTCAAGCATGACTGGAGGGAAATCTCGCCAGAGGAAGTGATCCAATTTACACATGAAGTAAACAAGGAAAAAAATAGCACCCAGCACACACTCACGCTGACACGTTCCTGGGGCAAAATACTGTAGAATGAATGTGGCAACCCAACTGACGTGCATAGCAGAATCATTTACATGTGACACATAATGTGGGGAATGTGGTTAGAGGGGTTATGGCGCAGCAGAGTTTTGTTGTGTGTGTGTGTGTGTGTGTGTGTGTGTGTGTGTGTGTGTGTGTGTGTGTGTGTGTGTGTGGGGGGGGGGGGTGAATAAAAAAAAGGATGAACCCACTTGTTGACAAAAGGCTTCTCTTTAAAGATGTTCTCATGATTTCAGCAGATGGACATCTTTAGAATGAAGACAAACAAGACATAAACCGTTCCCACTGTGGCCTCTGCAGTCAAACAGAAACAGATGTTAAGCGAGAATACCCACCATCAGTGTGGCAGTTATCTCAAAGTAAACATTTACATTCTTTAATAGAGTAACTCTGTGTTATTATTACCTTTAACAAAATGGATTATCAGTTTTATATAGAGAACCACCCCCATTCTAACTTCTCTAAAACATCTTTAAGGCATTACACATCAGGTGAAGTAAATCACTGAGGGCCACAGGTGTTAAAAATCAGCAAAAAGCTACAGAAAAATAAAGGAGTAAAATGTAAGATATCCACTGAATTCAATCACAAAATGACCTGAAGGGAACATGCTGTGTAGAAATACTGGCTTCTCTGACAACAATGCAGCAGACAGTATGTTCTCTTAAGTTTCGATTCCGGTTCGTACTGTAATGGTCTCTATTTGTTTTGCCCAGAGAAGGTTGCGGACAATTAAGCTTCAGTGTTTAGCCAGCTCTTGAAACCTTTCCCTTCAGATATGAGACCAGTTATCACAGCACACCAACAGGTGTCGCAGCTATGATTCAAATATAACTTTTATTAGCTCCATGAACAGAATCGTGGTAAAACTAGGATAAATATTGGAGATGCTTTTAACAAATTGAGAAAGGTTAGAACGCAGAAAGAGCTGGCTAAACACTGAAGCTTCATTGTCCGCGACATGGCAACCGAGAGCATCGACTCTAGGGAGGAGGGGGAGGGGGGAGACAGCTCTTTCCAATTTGAAATGCTACTTGTCAGAGTTACATATTGCGCCTTTAATATAATGCATCTGGCGCTTGTGCCATATTGTATGTAACAGTTTGAAAGCTGTTGCTTTGTCCATGATTCTTTATGTCCGATGACTACTGACACCCTTTAACCCCCTCTACAAGTATCAGTAATCTGTGGTTCTACTTGTTGCTGTGAGTTATTTCCCTGCCATGACGGATGTTAGCCGTCGGCTGTAGTCTTTGCTGTGTGTTCAAGGGCAACTTTTTATCCAAGACTAAAGGCGACAGCCTTCATCGCCACTAGTTCTCGGCTGTCTGCTTGGTGTGTCAGGGCCTTAAACCTTTATCATATCCCGCCCTTATTATGACAGCTTGGTTTTACACTTTGCTTTTGAGTTCAGCATTTGAATCAAAAGTGAACCGCTGGTCCTTTTGTTTTTGGGACAACGTGTCTCATAGGATAGTTTTTATTTCATTTTAAATGGATCTAACCTTAGGGGAGGCTCAAGCCCTAAAAGAGAACAAGTTATTGTATTCTAACAAATTTTTAAAACAACTGGACATAACAGACCTATCAAGCTTCCAGACACAAGTGGAGACATTTGATGTTATTTTGATTTGATCAGAATCAGAACATTGTGCATTTTTTTTAAAGTTCCAAAGTCTTCAGTTCAGTTCAGTTCAGTTCAGTTCAGTCCTTTATCGTCCCTGCAAGGGAAATTTGATTTACACCAGGGAGTTAAAACACAAAAAATAAAACGACATAGGGCAGTGCAGCACAACCTGATGTAATACGAACATGAATAGAAAATGTGACTGTTCGTTAAACATATCACTGGAATGGTAGCAATAGGTGTTTTCGTACCGCAGGAACTTTTTCATGGTTCTAGGAACTGTTGGAACCCTCCTCCTTTTTTATTCATTCCACACTGCAGGAGCTTTGAACTATTCTAGTTCCATGAACCCAGTTTAGAGGAACCTGTTTAGCTCCTCCTTCGGAGTAGGTACCATAGCCGTGTGAATACAGACAAAGAAAAAGTTCACATGATGTGTAGTTCTCAGGGAACTCTCTAGTGGATAGTTCTTCTTTAAAAAAGTCCACAGAAGTGTTTAGTACGGAAATACCTAATATAAAGTAAGTGCTGCTTGAAAGTGCAGTCGAAGTGTAAAGAAGATATTGCATTAATTGCATTACGAACATACAGAAATCTGTTGCTGTTAGACCTGGGCAGCCTGTGCCTCTGACCAGAGGGGAGAAGAACATATTCCTCCTAGAGAGGAGGGTCAGAGCTGGGCCAAGATTGACCTCACAATTTGTCAGTTCCAGATATCTGAAAAGGAAATCTCCTGAGTGTCAATTATTTCACTGGATGTTTAAACGATACTGGAGATAAAACAAATGGTTAAAATGGACTCAAAAAAATATCCGTAGAATAAATGCATCAGTGTCTTGTCCAGATGAAAGTATTCAGTCTGTGCAGAAAGTAGAATCTCTGCAGGCCCTTTTTTGCAGATTGTGTTTGTGTTCTGGTCATGATTCAGGTTTTTTTCAATTAAATTATAACAGTCAATATTCTCAACAGTTGTGCCTTCCATTCATTGAACATAGAGGTCCATTTTAAATCCTGACAAACTCTTCATTTCTTGAATATATCGGTTTCTATTTGAATTCTTGCGTATGTGTTTTCTTCTTGTAATTTATTATTTTAATTAAGTTGTCATATTTAGTCTGTTTAAATGTACTATTGAGGTCATCACAAGTGATCACAAAAAATATATTTTACAGTGCTTCAGATCTTCATGTGTGTTACGACTGATCTGAAGTTATAATTATAAGTCTTCCTCCAAAATCTGCTGATCTCAGAGGAAATCCTGACTCTCCAGCAATGTTACACAACCAGAAACACCAGCGGTCACACTCACCACATCACAGGGAAGCTGACTTACACAGCACGTCAGAGCAGGGCATGGGTCCGCTCTGATGAAACCGATGACGCTCCAGCCTGATGATGTCATCTTCAAAAGAGACACTCCTAATGAGTCACACTCTCATTGCTCCAAAGTGACACAGCATGAAACAGATGAACAAATAGACACGTTCGTGTTTGTTTGTCGATATAGCAACACGCTCTGCTATGAATACATCTTCACCGTGTTGTCAGCCTGGCTTCTTGCTTACACCAGAGATAGACATAAGATCATGCTGCAGGAGATTGATGCTCCTTTAGCAGTGTGCCATTTGAAGCCTTTTGAATTGAGCTTTGACTTTAAGCTCAACACTTGACCGTCTGTTTGAGAGGGTCAGCAGGTAGAGGGGGGTCATCAGAGCGCTGTGATAGACAACACTCGCCTGCAGTTACCGAGTGAAAATGTTGAATAAAGATCAGGATAAGAAAGTAGATCAGGAAGATGCTAAGACTTGATATAAAACATGGCTGGTAATGACTCAGAGAGACATTATATACTTGATTTCTGCTGTATTTATGTGTAAAATGTCACATATTATCCCTTTAAACTCACAACTGATTATTTATTTATTATTTAAAAAATATTTGACATGCCATAGGCTAATAAGTGGTCAGTATTAACCTCAGGAGTGTTTATCATTAATTCATTTAAATGAAGACTCTCACTCATTGATTCAAAAAGACATCCGTGCTAATGATTCTGTCTGCCCTCAGACGTGTGCAGGGTAACATGCCCGACACTCCAGAGATTTTTTTTTGGGTGTGCTAATATCGACTCTGATTTCCTGTCTGCTCTTCATGTAATGAAACATGAGATCAGCAGGCGGGCACGTATTAAGAGATGACATGCTATAATTAAATTTCCCTTAAAGAGCTGAGCAAAGAATTGACTCTGATGATGTATGCAACAGGGAGGCTGTAACTCTGTCTCCTATTGTAACTGAGCAGAGGTGACACGAAAGTCTGAAATAATATGACCCACTTAGGCCTATACAATTACACATTATTTATCTATTGGTCAAAATTCTATAGAAAGATGAATTAGCACGAGCAGGGTCGAGCCAAATGTGCTTCATTATTATTATTCATATTTTTCAAGCTATTTTGGGCTGTTTTGGCCTTCATTTGATAGGACAGCTGAAGAGAGATGATATGTTGGGAGGAGAGAGAGGTGGATGACAAGCAGCAAAGGGCTGAGGTCGGCATTGAACCCACGGCCGCTGTGATGGGGACTACAGCCGCTATACATGGGGTGCACGACACAACCTTTTTAAAATCTCCTTAAACAACTCTTATCTCTTTCATAGCTTCTAGCCACTTCTGATTATTTCTGTCTTTAAATTGCTTACTCATCTGCTTACATCTTCAGTGCTCTTGGTCTCAACCTGCCTTGCCTGAGTTTTTATGAGCTACTATGTTGCTGATGATGTTCGGGTTCTGATGATGGTCAGGTTTTTGTTTAGGTTCTTTTACTGTTGGGGTTTTGTTGTTGTTGGTTGGGTGTCTCATTGTTGTTGTTGTGGTGTTTTGTTGTTGGTTGGGTTCTTAGGTTTTGTTATGCTCCAGCATGTGTCAAAGCACTTTGTAACTCCTTGTTTTTAAAGATGGTAGACGAATACAGTTATTATTAACCACTAGGCTATCAGGCGTCCTTGAATGTGCTTCATTTAATCAGTGACATTCATCAATATAACACTGCACAGCTTTGTATCAAAACAAGTTTATTGAGCTGTGTAAAAAAATATCAACCCAGCTCCTACTGACCATGCCTCTAGACTGTAGAGGTAACTTAATTATTCTCTTATCTGTGTTTTCTATAACTCCATTTATAAGTCATCTTCATTTTTTTCATATAACATAATGTTTCTGTTTTTTTAATACCGGGTGAAGCCTAGTCATAATGCCTTTATACATTTAAGCATCACATGAGATAGAGAGTTATGCAGTACTGAATAAATCACAGCCGTGATTCTGCACAAAGCTAACAGAAAACATACATAAACACAAATCATCATTTTTGCTCCATCAACTGAAACTGGCCTGTTACCAAGCAACCAAAACATTGTCCCTGCATTCTTGCCACTTGATTTGTATCCATGGTTACCACCTAGAAGCAGCTTTGTTTTATGTACATTTATTTGCATGTTGTGGTTGCGCAGCCAGAATGATCCAGAGATCCTGATTCATCAGGACTAACTCTGTGTGCTGTTGTGTTTATCAACAGTACTCAGAACGTGGGGCGTTGGTGGCGCAGTGGTTAGTGCATGCACGTGTGGAGGCTGTAGTCCTCCAAGCGGGCAGCCCAGGTTCAAATCCAGCCTGTGGCTCCTTTCCCACATCATCCCCCACTCTCTCTCCCCAATTCCCAGCTATATCCACTGTCCTATCTCTCAATTAAAGGCACAAAAAGCCCAAAAATAAATATTAAAAATATTTTAAAAAACAGTACTCAGAACGTCTGGCTGAGGTGGAGTGATAGATACATATAATGAAAAGTCTCAGAACTCATTGTATGCCTCTTAACCAATCAGAATACTTGGTCAGAACTACCTGTTTTTATACTATTATTTATAGAGGAACTATTTATGAAGTTCCTGTTTGTCAAAGGTCCTAATTTAATTTTTTTTCCAGAAAACTGTGACTGTCACTTTGAAGGAGACACAAAGACTTCAACAAGTTTTTTCTTCATTATCTTGTTTCAGAAAGAAGTTCACATTTGGCTTTAGAGGTTGTTTTAGTAGTTTATTCTTGGCCAGAGTCATATGTCCTTATGTTTTGAATATGATGCTAGAATGAGGCTTATATGTTGATTTAATCCAAGGAGGAACAACTCCCGCACTTTTGAGACTTCTGCACCGAGCGGGCACTCAACCGTTCAACCACTGAAGCACTGAAGCAGATAATCCATTGATTTATCATCTCAAGTACAGAAGAAGAAGATTGTAGCAGAAAATCCAACACAGCACGGTTGAGTGATGGTCACAAGGTTAAAGGAGAACCTAGATTCTTAAAAAAAAAAAAAACAGGAAAAAAAAAAAAGACAACAGCTCATCAACTCATGCTTCGGGTTTTCTTTTTTTGTCTCATCAATGATCCTTTCTGGCTCGTCTTTTCCTCAGATGATGGTGTGAATTGCATTGCTGCCATCTTGTGGTGGTTTTCAGGACTTGTTACGTCAGTGCCGGAGCTGAAGACTTGTTGATATTCCCTCCGCATTGTAACCGATTTCAAATGGTGCTAGACATGATGGAAACTCTGAACACCAGAGGAAAACGGTCAGCCTTGATGAGAGGGGGTCAGACAGGCGCACTTGTCCCACTCTTCTTTTTCTTCTAATCTCTGGGACATCGGCTGCAGATAGAACCGACTGAGAGAAGCAATCTGCATTTCCATCATCAGTGGATATCTTGTTTTGTTTGTTTTCTACAATCCTGGACTGTTTTACAGTTGAAGGGGTCATAAATCTTGACTAGACCTTCAAAGAATTATGAATAAACGCCATCAAACAGAAATCCCAAACTTTACATTAACTTAAGGTCGTTTCTGTCGTCCCTCCTGGAGTCTGTTCCCACTCAAGAACACCGATTTCAAATGGTGCTAGATGGGATTTTATACTCTAAGACACCATCTGAAACCAGTTCCCTGGGGAGGACGCCTTTAGACAAACCACATTTGGAAGCCATGTCCGCTTCTGCAATGACAAAGAAAAACATCACTGTCGTCACTTTCCACTTGGGACCCTGCCCGAGTCACAGTTCCCGCATGGGCTCATTAAAACAACATTAATCAACATGTTAATGTGTTTTGACAAACTGACAAATTTCAACGAAAGAGCGGGTTAAATGTGTGTCAGTGTGAAATAATATAATGAAGTCTAGATTTATTTAATTTCACATTAGTCAGATCTTCTTTTCCAGAGTGTTGCCAAACTGCTCAATTTATTCAGCGCTTTGATTTTTTAATGATGGTCATATCTCAAGAGGACGCTGATCTGTCATCTACGTGATTTCAAGAGATCAAAAGTAAGGACAGCTTGAAAAAGAATTCAGCTGAACAACCTAATCTATTTCTCTCTGTTGTGTCTGTATTTAAAGAGGAAAGTACGTTTTCTCTCACAGCTGTTTGAGAGTGAGACTTCAAACACTGAACCCTTTTCTGTACCTGTGGAAACTTCTGCAGATTGATTGAAACTCACCTTTTACATACAGACGTGGTGCTGAAATGACAAATAAAGACAGTAAGATAACATTAAATCAACTTTTAGTTATTTCATGTGTGAGTACCGTGCATCTGTCTTTATCACACACACTTTAAATCAAAAACTAACATGTACTACAAACAGGTTAAATCAACACAGACATGACAATAAAATATTACCAAGTTACCATGGTTACCATACTATGGAAGCATATCGAGTTCACAACTTGCGACTTCAAGCAGACTAGAATGGGCTTTAGGTCTAAACAACTACACAAGACTACCTATGTTACTAAAAGACACAAATGTCTCCATATGTCTCGAACCCAAACTCAAACAAACTGAGATCAACAGTTAGCGCTTGTCTGCTTCCTTAATGAGAGCTTCTTTTGGGATTTTGAGGTACCGATATTTTCATTATTGAGAAAAGCAAACCATATATTTTTTCTTAAATGTGCTTCGATACCATACAACTTTGATTTGAAACATTTAGAGATATGCCGAGTATGTTGATAACATGCAAAGTCCCAAAAGGATTACTATAGGGGTGCAGATGGTATGGGGTCAGGTCACGCCCCATTTAGGAGGATAAAGTCCTCCAAGGTTCAACTCCGGCCTGTGGCACCTTTCCCGCATCTCATTCCCCAGTCTATGTCCCGTTCCCTACTCTATCCACTGCCCTATCTAATAAAGACAAAAAGCCTCAAAATAAATCTTTTGAATAAATCATCATATTGTCAACCAGATTCGGAAACAGGTTTTCTTTTAATGGGTAAAGAAAAAATAATCACACATCCTTCGTCTTTGTTTTAACCTACTTCCTACAACTACTGCTGGCCTCACCATGAAAACCCACAGCACCATCTAGTGGACTTTAAGAGCAAGTGTTTTTGTCGTTCTCGTAACAAAAGTTGAATTGGTCATTAAAATATGACCTTATTGTGTTCTAATAGGTAACAATGGGTGTCTGTGGATACTGCCATTACAAATATTGCAATACTTTGCTCTGTAGTTTTTATTACAAACATAACTTATAGATTGATACATTTGATTTTATTCAAACAGCCTACATCTGACCTGTTACTCCCGTCCTTTAAAACCTGCAGCTGTCGATCTTTCCAAAGAGAGAGATGGACAGAAAAAGAACCAGGGGAAAAAAAAGACGCTGACTATTTTCTGAAACTACGCCTACAAGATCAAATACTGAGTCATGGTCGGCTCTTCGTAGAATGACACTGCATTGAGAAGTGCATCAGGTGTCCGACATCCCATTTTAAGAAAGAACATGAAACAGACTGGCACCAGAGAGGTACCCCACCAAAAACAATCTACGTATCAAAAAAATAAACCTCTGCCGCTCCCTGTGGACTTCTTTGAAATGCACAATAGGATACTGTGCCTGTCCTGGTTCTGCCTCAGGCCTCCCAGTCCTGCTCCTGGTCCAAGAGGGGGAACTGCAGGATAGAAAACTAGATCCCGAAATAGGTAAAGACTCATTAGTGCGAACCCCCCGTTGTCCACTGAATGTCTTAAGAGAGCTCATTTGTAACTTTCTCTACTGTCACTATTCCCGCTGCTATTTAATTAAAAAACAAATGACAGAAAGGCAATTAATGTGGAAAACTGCCCCGATTCTATTTGTAGTTCTGGCAGTAAAAGGCCGGCTTTATCTCCCTCGTATGGCAGAGGCTGTTGTCCTGTTGATGGGAAAAGGTGACGTAGCAACTAATCCAAAACCTTCATGTGTCTTTCGGGGACAATTTCCCTGTGTGTCACTGCCTAATCCTCTCACTGATAGTTAAGTGTTAGCGCTTCCAAAACAGGAGTAGTTGTTGTACTGGTTGGTGACACTGTCACCTCTGATGAGTCGATGTGTATGTGCATGTATTACGGCTATAATTGCTTTAGTGAAATGAACTCTGACTTTACATCCTTGATTTGGACAAACACTCACAGTGTTTACATTAAAGAAGAGTCAACGCTGAGCGTGTCTCAGGCAGACGAAGGCTGAGTCACTGCTTTCATCCATCTCCTCCATGTAACATTAACATTTGTGATCTCTAGCTCTCTTTTTTTTTATCCCTAAAAGCCCTTCTGCCGACTGTTTGGTGTGCTGACAATGATTTCTGCACCAATGCATTATCTCTGCCAGGACACCTGACCGTCTACTACTACTTAAAAGCACATCAGCTAACTTTAAAACCAAAATCATTGAAATAACGACTTTTTAAAACTAGATATAAACTCATTCTGAGCTGTAAATATATTTTCTTAAATCTATGTCAAACCGTTTGCGTCGTCAGTAACAAATCTCAGCAACAGAAGCGACATCAACAACTAAAAACCTCAACAACTATCTGTTTCTAATTAAAGAGAGTTCTAAAAAAGAAAATATCCCTTTTGTTTACAACAATGAGATTAGCAGATCCCGCTGTGCATCGGGCAGAGCAGATGTTAAGAGGAGAAACTGTGTCACAGAGAGAACCACTGAGCCTGGGCCTTTTTATAATTATCACATTTACTTTATGTTATGTAATCTTATCATTTCCAAGGGGGAAATTAACTCTCTTGATACATAACTGATATGGTTATTTTCTCCTGTCGTGCTCACAGTAGGAGGCTCAATCGACGTTATGATGTCATAGTTTTGTCCTCCGGGAAATCTCAGGGTAACTCACGATACGCAATAAGTTGCTCACAATAGAGATAACTAAACCGGTATTCTGCAATAGTTAATATAAAAATCATGAAATCTGATTCACTGAAAATGAAATCCCGTTAAAAGCAAAATGCGTAAACAAAGTAATTATTCACTGCAATTTGTTGACGGTTTCCTCTCTTATTTTGCTTCATCTCTTAGCATCTGTTCACATCTGTCTGACATATCCTGCAGTCTTTTCACATTAGCCTAACTCATGTCATGAGCGTCACTATGAGAAATCATGACGTAGTGACAAGATGAGTCAAATTAGTTTAGAAATCCTTTTATATCGCCTTTTTACTCAAACATCGATACTCAGAACCAGTGATATAGTAACTTTACCACACGAGTCAGGACGATATATTGTCGTATTGATACCACCTCTTACAAAAAAGAACTCCATTGTAGCGTTTTAATTTCAAAGCTAATGAGCAACTGAAAACACAATAAACTATGACAATCTGGAGGTATTTCACACAATATTTAAAGTTGTAAAGACACGCGGTAGCTAATTATCTATGGTTTGACAATGTTAAATGATAGAACTTGAAAGGTACCTATTCTAGCTAACAGTAATGTTTGCTATAAAGTGGCTGTATGCTAATGCTAAAGTTTGAGTATGTTATCGTATATAACTGGAAATTCAAGCTAACGGTGATGTAAGCAAGGAAATGGCTGTATGCTAATGCTACAGTTTGATCAAGTTGCAGAGTTTATTACTAGAAATTCTAGATAACGGTGATGTTAGCTAAGAAGGGAGTGACATTAGCTTTAGTCTGATTGTAGCTAATGAGTTACTCATGATGTTGTTTTGCTTAGAAATGTGGAGCCATGTTAATACAAATATTTGTGTTTTCATTATCTGATTGGCCAAAAACACAGTTATATTATAACAACTGTGAGAATTGCAACGATTACACAACTTTGGCGACAACCCAGAACTATGAATTACGACAATAACAGCTTTTCAAGTTCCCGACCGGAGTTTGACATCAGTGGAAAAACTAAGTTAGCTTAACGTGTACCATGCTAACAATCAAACACCTTTTTTTCCTGCTGCCAACTGTGCTCTAAAAACACTCCTTGCTCACCTGTGTCCTAAATAAAATCCTAAATAAAGCATGGCCAATAAGCTCCTCCCACAATCACGTTAAAGTAAGTGAGGTCAAAGAAACACTGAATGCCTGTATGAGTATGACAGTCTGTGTTTGTAACAGTGGAGGGGGGCAGGGTTGTGTGCGTGTGTGCACGTGCAAATAGGGAAGGTGGTTAATCCTCTTACAGATTAGAGGTCCTAATTTATCAGGAGTGAGAGGGGCAAACTCATCGAGGTAATGTGTTTTTAAAAACCACCTCTCAACATTTGTGGAATCACAGAAAAAAGACACAGTGACTTTGCTTAAATTGGTCAGAATATTGTTTAAAATTGAAATATTAATTATTTGTATATACCGTATATAAAAGTAATATGTTTGAACATACATGTATGAGCCGTGATGACCTGCAGCACTAGTACTATAGTAGTTATACAAGTGTTGTCATAAGTAATTGGCAATTTAGAGGAATTCAAACTCCACTGCACCAATCAAAGCCAAAGGTAACACAGACTTCACTTCCTGCTTCTTTAGGACAGTGAGTACCCAAAGTACCATTATGTTTGGATTATGTAAGAGCTTACATATCTCCTTCTACATTGCATCATCTTTTTCTTCGGAGCAACAAATTGCGAAATGTTTGGATATTTGAGATGGAATGAACCTGATCCTTTGGAGAAAAAAAATAGAGAGGCTGCAGAGAGAAGAGCAGATTAACACTTTGTCCCCCTCTTCTGGTTCCTGCTCTGCTTGTCGAGGAAAAATAAGATGTCTTGCTGATCGCAGGTTTGGCTTTATGGGCTGAATGTCTAAAGATTTCAAAAGGGGGCTTGAACAGTGTCTTCATAAAGAAGATAAGGTTTAAAAGAAGATGGTATTGATTTGCAGTCAATCTGGAAGGAAACACTTAAGCTTTCTCAAAAGTGTCCCCCCCATTATTCTTCCTCTCTCGAAGGCCTATTTAGAGATATCAATTAATGAGTACCTTTGCACACTGAACAATTAATGCCATTAATTATAAAAGTGAAGTCATGTACCTCCTGTGTCTCAGCACAGTTGCTTCCAGGTTTTTTTTTTCTCTGCTTGTTTTTCAGCCCGCTCTGTGCCTGGCTGCTGCTAACGACACCTGCGAACGAACGCTGCCTAACACTTGTCTATTAATACATCATCATCATCATCATCAACTCGCGACGAAGCCAGCAGTACTCCAGGTTTAATTTTAGCACTGTCATCTCTTGGCTCCGTACCACCTGCTGTTCTATATAATGTGTGTGTAGGATGGATCGGTTTTTAAAAGGCAGTGGGGCGCTCACCATCTCGTCTGAACTCTGCTGCGTGTGGGCTACAGGTGATGCTGCTCCACCTGCTGTGAACACATCCGTCAGTGGAGTCGCACTTCTTTCCCCTCAGGAGTCTCTCAAAAGTGCTGGTTTTGCTGCATTTTGGCCGCCGCAGCATCTGCTGAATTGCATTTGCTCCAGCTGAAAAAACCCCCAAAAAAAACAAAGATCAATTTTTTCAGCATTCAATAACAGCTTCATTTTAACATATCTCTCGATAAAACTAGCTTGAGCACATTTAGCACACTTGTACTAGGCCTTTATGTTAGTTTGGCTTGAGAGGCAGCGCCCCTCCCTGAAAGCACAGCAAAATAACTATTGAGGTCACGTTTCCTTGTCTGTGAAAGTGGGTCACTTGTACTAGAGTTCGGCCTCAGAAGAGTCGGTAAACATTAGTACTGCACAGGACACGACACCGGCCGTAAATAACAAATATTCTGATGAGTAAGTTCGGGGTTATTTGTCATTTCACCTTAGTCCAAACTTGCACATGGGATGTTCTCCATTAAGGTTTGCTTTGAGTGGTAGGCTTGTGATGATTACTCTGGTGACCTTTACCTGTTTGTTTCAAAACTACCATAGTGACTTTCCCTCAGGAGTCAAGTTTCTATTCAGTACATATAATTAAAGCTCTAAAGCTCTCCTTCGCGCCCCTCCCCTTCTCCTCTCTCGCTCTCTCTCTCTCTTTTCAATTCCCTACCAGTGGTTTAGCAATTCGGGAGGTCGACTGCTGATTCACCCACTGACTGAACAAATCCACTTCACAAGAATTGTGTCATTTTCATTTTCATCTCTCATCTGCCGACCCTCTGGCAGGTAAGCGGCAGGAGGCACCACTTCCTTCCTTCACACAGGGTCTTAAGGAGAATACTAGGAGTCATCTACCACTGTGACATCACATCAGGCGTGTCAGGGTCCCTTTGTTCTCTGGCAGGTGTGCATTACAAGCTCTAGTAAAGGGAAACAAATATGCAGGATGGATGTCACACGGCAACAAGAGTTAGAGATAAGAGTTCAAAACTACCGATTAGTTAAACAGCTCATGGATTTGTGTTATTTACTTTCATAACAAGACAGAAAAATAGGTGAAAAAAGAGCAAAGAGATGGAGAGTAAACTGTCTTTTCAGGGGAAATGAGGAGTTATCTGTTTGTAAACATCCCTTCGCAGATGATAATACAAGGCAAGTATGTTCTTACTCAACAGCGCCATCTATAGTTGGGAAATACAACTTGTTTTCATCATATCAAGTGCGCACTAAAAAGCCAGATTACTATTAAAGACCTCCCGGGATCTCTGTGACGCAGCAAATGTTGTCTGACATCGTCAAAATAAAACAAGCTGCGTCACTTTTGTGTTGCTCACTTCAATTTGAAGTTTTGTTGTCCTGTGAGATGACAAACACAAGAACATCCCGTGCTTGAATGTGTGACCATGTTTGGAAAAGTGTCTGTCTCCTACATGTTTACAGATAAAGAGTTGAATTTGTCTAAGAACCCTAGTTAAAAACACGAGGTGTCAAATGATCGTGCCAGTATGAACTGCGTAATATCGTCCTCTCCCACAACAGGATTACGCACTGACCATCTCTTGCGCAGCATCCTATTCCGAGCTCTTCCTTCACACGCCATGCCCGCCGACTCCACGCTTTGTTTACATCCATATCTTGACGTGAAATTCAGACACGAGTCAAGTTTGAAACCGAGCAAAACAAACACTGCCATGCCGTCACAGCATGTTCCTCCATGGCAGCGGAAATTCCCACAGGACTTCATGAGGCTTGACGGGTCCCTCGCGCTGACGCAGTTTAATTTACCTGTTGTCGTGTCGGTGGTGAAACACTCTCGATTTATATAAAGTGTTTATTTATGCTTTCTTAACAAAGCCCTCGTGCCCTGTTTGCCCGAAAAGACACGAATTTTAATTTCCTTCTTTATATAATGTTTCCATTTCTTTTCGACTCTGCCGCTCTTTACTTACCTTTAACTCAGCGCTTGAGTTGTTATGAATTACAGAGTGGTATTCTCTACGCAACATACGCAGCGTTATGTCGTTGTCGCCCTATAAAACATAAATAACTTACGTGTTTATCCCAAAGCATGTGTCCCTCCCGTGCCGACAGAGTTTCATCCATTTCCCATCCGGCACCGCTCAGAGCCGGTCCTCCTCCGACAGTCATCCCGGCTCCCGTTCCTGCCTTGTTCTCGTTGTTATCAATCTCAGAGCGCACATTCATCGAAGTGTATCCCCGTAATGATTTTCCATAGCGCAACACGGTAACCCCGCCCCTGACACTCCCCCGGCCGCTGGTTGGCCAGGCGTCTGGAGAGTCTTTTCCTCTTCGCCAGAATCACATGTGGCTGACGCATGTTTACAAACATCGGTGAGATCACATGGTAATGAGCGCCGTTTTACCGTAAACTACCTCACTTTGACGCAGCTACCAGATGTCGTGCCGAGGTCCTATTATTTACTTTTTCATCTTTTTTCAATTAAAGCATTATGAAAATTACTTAGATGTTACTATTTCAAGATCACAGACAATGCAAAGCACAGCCTGCCGATACATTTTACAGCAAAGGCAGGGATATAACAGCTCCATCTGAGGCAAATATGGGTGGGGGGTGGGGTAAGTGATGCAGATATATATATATATATAATATATATATATATATAGCCTATATATCATAGAACAGCAAGAGATGAATATATTTTGCACAAGTTTAATTTTTTTTCTTGTGAATGCTGAATACTTTACCCCCTACATGTCTTTACACATCCTTCAATTAAAAATTTAACAATAAGGAGAATCACTTTAATTGAATTATTAATTTTAAAAAAAAAATCGTTTTATTTTAAATGGGTCCCAGGTCAAACATGCTGGTAACTATTAGACATATTGTTTGATTCATAAGTCTTCAGTTGTCCATACTCACTTACTTGAAGCTCTGGTAAAAGTGCGTTTCCCCCCATATGTGTTCCTTTTCTTCTATTAAATCAATGTTCATCAAGTGGCCTGTGAAGTAGATTAGGTGGTTTCGTGGTGGTGTTTTGTTATCCACAACTCACGCAGCAATGTGTGTGGTGACAAGACAAAAATCCTTTGCAATGTTGTTTTGGCTACAACAGATGGCAGTGTTACACTCAGAAAAGGCTCAGCTGAGAGAGTGCAGTGACTTCACGGTTTTTGAATATCCTTTGGCATCACCATTATCCCAAATAGATAGAGCCTATGATCCGCCGAAATCGACTTAAGTGACCTGAAGCAGCTACATTAAGCGTTTCTGGGCTCTATGGCCCCTTAATGTTGAAAGTGCAATGACTTTAAATTGGCTCCTGTAATTTTTCCTAATGGGCCGAATCTGGACAACAACCAGCTGCTTTGTCTGGCACAGGAGGAGCCCTACGTGAGTCGACATTTTGGGAACTTAACACAGACTAGACCTGCTTTTCTGAGTCAGGAAACCGATTGAAGGTGCAATTTTTGTGAAGAATATTAAAGAGCAAACAAGCATGAAATATATAAAAAATAAAAATTAAACAGAATTGTGTCTGTTACGTTATAGCCATCTGGTTTTACGAATGGGCCTATTATATCCATGTCAATCAATGCGATAATGGCCAAGAAACACGCAAGTAAAAGGCTATAGCTTTTATTTCTGTACAACGTGCCCCATTGATGAATGTGATTAACTTACGGTAAGTGGCGTGACTCACAGCTCCACTTTACTGGCATTTACGGTAAGATATTTATCACGTCACGACTCGTCATCGACATTTTCGCGGGAAATCGCCCCCCCCATGCTGCTCATGTTAGACACGAACCAGTAAGTAGAAATGTTAACACTGGTCTGGTGCGTTCTCGTTGTGAGCCTAACACGTTTAAAATGAGTGCCAGAAGAGGAGTTATGTGGGAAAAGCAAACAACAACAACAACAACAACAACAACAACAACAAATAATTCACAGAGAACAAGCCCAAGTCCCTGTTGATAAACACAAAAACACAGAGTCAGTTTAACTTAATGGTAAAAAAAAATAACGCCGTGTTGTGTGAGAAACTATTCTCTGTGGCCTTCAGTGTGTGGATAGAAAAAGCAACATCATAGCTGAAATGACAGAGGACCCCCAGTAGATGGTGATACAACACTCTTTATTGTTTGCCTGAAACTCAACGAGCCCACAGTTGAAGCTTTAAAATCATATTGTCCACAGATGTTTACTCATGCAGTCAAGTTGAATTTCCCCCCCTTTAACCATTTCTCTCCATGTGGGTCTACTTAAAATAGGCATATCAAAGCTGGAGGCTATATTGTACAAGCACATTAACACTATTATAAAGTGGCCGACAGGACCCTCACAGGTGCACATGGTTGCAGTAATGTACCACGAAAAATGAATCAAAACTCCATGGCACACTGAAAATAACTTTAGTGTACAGCATGGGCAGCTAACAACGCTAAGAATATATTAAAAAAATACATTTGGACTATGTGGACGCGTAGCCTACGTTATGTTTGCACGTTTTAGTTTTCATTCGAGGCTGTGACCCGGAATAATGTTTACTGTGATGGTTGGTCATGTGACCAGCCTGTGTATGCGCTGTGGTTGTTGTGGGCGAACATGAGGAAGCTACAGGCGAAAGGCGCTGTTCGCCCACAATAAAATGCAGTAACCTATAATGTTATTTTCAGTGTGCCACAGAGTTTTGATTCATTTTTTCACGATTATGAAGTTATAAATATAAAAAGCACCAACGATCATCAACATAAATTGATAAAACTTTTAGATACACGTGAGGTGTTTAACCCAAGTGACAACCTCCGGTGTTGAAAAAATGAAGCCAGTGCAAAAGTGCAAAATCCTGCAGTTCATCAAGTGTCCACTTGAGGCTGGCTCCTGGGACCCCGGAAGTTACACACACATGACTGGCAATTAAGCAGTTTTTGACAGTATAATTAAACATGTTTACTGCTTGGTACAAAAAAACGAAATAGGTCTGATTAGTTATTGTCATCATGGGCACACACTGCGGGGTGGGTTAATTTAATGAATACATGTTATCCATAGTTAGGTGCGTAGCTGACATGATTGACAGGTGGAAACGATGTAACAGTTCGTCAAGAGGCTTAAAACCCGCCTCAGCTCCAGCTCTCAGCCTGCTGTTAGGTTGACTGATAGTTAGACATTTACAGTCTGTGGTTTAACCTTCATCAAGCAGTTTCACTGAAGAGGGAGGGATGTTAGTATCAGCAGGTCTGTGTTTCAGTCACAGGCACAATGCCACTGATTCACAGCCATGTAGATATACAGCTGTAGGCCTCGTAAGGCTATACAGTTTTTAAAATTAATTCATCTTTATTTGAATCATTCGTTTGGCTCTGATGCCACAACTATAGTGGCTCCCAAAATGTGTGAATAAGTCAAATAAACTGCACCATAAGTGTCATAAACATTGGAAATTCAAACACACTGATAGTGTGGACAAGGAGAGCTTTGATGTGTCCGTGTAAACACGCGTGTCCTGATACTTGTTGTTTTAAGAGTAATCTTCGGTGTTGCAGTGACACGGCCTTGTTCAGTGTCACTGGCGTGCTGCTATCAGTAAACACAACACTGACCTTCGCACTCACTCAGCTTTACACCCGCTGTGTAAGTGAAGCGTTACAGCAGGCATGTATGGGCTGTCAGAGTGTAACAACAAGGGTGGAAAAAGGTCACATCAGCCAGAGGGACAGCAGTGGTTAATTTGCTGTGGCTGTACACTACACTACACACACACACACACACACACACACACACACACACACACACACACACACACACACACACACACACACACACACACACGCACCAAGTCTGACTTTTCACACACTTCCTCTCTCTCCAGAGAATGAAGGGTGACCTTGTGACCAAGCTTTGTGTGACTGAAAAGGTCACATACCAGTACTGTAGGTTGTTGCATTTTTGTCCCAAAGCACTTGCCTGCATCAGAACTCAACCGTCTCTGTCAGTGAAACCAAAACAACACTTTCTTCTTGAAAAGTAACACCATGGATTTTCTATTTCAGGGAGAGCAAATGTTGTAGTAGGGAGATTATATTTCATTACCATTTTTTTTTTTTTGGGGGGGGGGGGTTATTTCAGAGAAAAGATAAACTTTCAGGGTGAAGTCATTGAACCTGTTGGCAGGGAAAGTATTTTTGCCTGAAAGTAAAAGATGAATGAGTATTTAATATCTGTTTACCATATCTTTCTGCAAATGATATGCTGCAGTCTTTTGCAAACCGACCTCTTTAATGGCTATAAGGCACCCAGATCCATTGGTCAGTCATGTATACTTGTAGTGATGACTTGTCTGAACAGTGATCGTCTTGCTACTAGCGGTTTTGTGTTTTCCAATCTGTGGCCCTGGCTCTCATAGGGTTTGTTTTCTGTACTCCCCCAGTGCAGACTCCGCCCCTCCTTTAGTGTCCAGACTGAGGGCAGCCGTTTATAGGATATCACTGATATGCAGCCCAAAGATGATTCAGTTCAATTGTGCTCTTGCAATGTGACAATACATCGCCATTGTGCCTCTTCAAACAGCGTCACCGAGTGCAGATAGTGTCTATTTGTCTGTCTGTCTGCGTATCTATCCATTCATCTCTTTCATCCAATCACCATAATACATTCATTTCATTTAATTGTTTATTGATATCAGTATAACAGTAACACAAACACTATACCATGCACAAAGAAAATAAAAAAGCATGTATGTGTGTGGGTGTGTTATGAACCTTTATATTGCTTATATGGATAGCACACCAAGAAGACATTTACAAAGTTTTACAAAACCACCACAACAAACTAAACACCAGAGATCAAAAACAAGAGAGCAGAAATCAAATAAGATTAAAACTATTTTTAAAAATTTAAAGGAGCCAAACAGATTATTTCTCTTAGTGGTAGTTAATGCTACGCATTATACGTTCTTTTTTTATCATCACAGAATTTCTAAGTCTTCCTTTGTACACAAACAATGACTTAAAGGGATAAATGACATGAACATTTTCATTCCATCTGAAAACTCCTGACAGTCCATTGAGAGTAGATCAAAGTTTTATACAAGTGATGGAGAATTTTTGCCGCCTCATTGGATGATTACAAAATCCTGAAGATTTACCAAATAATATCCACGACAAACAGTTCTGAGTGATGATAGATACTATAAAGATACATGTACAGATTTGAATAATGTTCATGTCTGAAAAGGTCGTGCACTTGATGCAGAATTGGAAAAAGAAGTTCATCTAAAAAAACATTTCGGCAGCTGTGATGTTTAATGCAGATAAGTTTGAAACAATATTACTGTATGATAAATATAATTGTAAATATGTCACTCTCACACCTAGTGTTTAAAATGGGTACTGCAGTTTAAATTCAAAACATTAACGAGAGCTGTCTCCCCCGCCCCCTCCTCTCTAGAGTCAATGTGAACGCAGATTGCCATGTCACAGACAATGACAAAAGAAAAAAAAAAATTCAGAAGCTTCTCCAATATTTATCCTAGTTTTACCACACGTCTGGTCGTCGCGCATATTAGAAAAATGCAGAGGGATTTTTAGGTCGTTTTTAGGTGGTTGGCGTTTGTCTGGCAAACCGAGGGGCGTCCAAAACGACCATGTGGGCGTGCCTCAAAACAGCCTACCTTCTCTGGTAAAAAAAAAAAGGCATTTTTTTCTCTCATTAAAGGCACAAAAGGCCCCAAAATAAATAAAAAACCTAGAAGGACATGCTGACTGTGTTAATGTCAGAGAAATCAGCACTTCAACAAAGCATGTTTCCTAAATGTCTGATGATATAGTTAGGTCATTTTCTGATTTAATTCAGTACATATCTTATTCATCCTTTAAGAAACAATTGTTAAAAAAACATTTATTTATATCACCTTTTTGCTGTCAAATTGAACCTGTTCTCTCCCATCGATTTTATTATCAATCTCAATACTCAAAAATCATCTCAAAACTTAAATTATTTAACCGTGTCCAATAAGAAGTTTCATTTGTTCAGTTGTACTTCATATTACCTGCATGTAACATGAAATTAGACTTTAGACGAAGGTCGTCAAAATATTACATACTTGATACCACATGTTTTAAAATCATCCAATCTCTGTTGTATTGAAAGATCGAATGAAAAGGGCCAAATATATATTTTTTAAACTACAGATCTGAAGTCTTTTTTTTAACCTGAAGTTGCCGCAATCAGTTATCTTGTAAAGACAGCTCTGTCATACAGATTTGTGCAGTGCACATTGACACATACATGATTAATTCACTTGCAGACAAAGTTGAGTTTTTCAGCACAGTCCCAGCTCTCCCAGCGCCCTTCTTCCGGTGAGAGAGCCCCACAGCGGCGAAGTGGGGCAGGGCAATGTGGCATCCCCTCTGTGCCCCAGGCCTGGTAGTTCATCATTCCCCCACCTACCCACAGCCAGGTATCTGCCAGGTAGCGCAGGCCGGTCCACACTCGAGTCGTCTGGGCTGCCCTGCTTATCCCTAGGGTTGCATCTAGAGCAGATTCAGAGTCCATGCTGACCAGCTCTCTCTGGTCACTGCGACAATGCTCCATCGCCTCCTCCCATGTCTTGTTCTCCTTCACCAGCACCATCTCAATGTGGGAACAGTAGAACCCCATTTTTTGTCCGCAGTCCCTTTTGCGCCACATTTTTGTTTTTTTACCTTGAGCAGCACATCTGTTGTCTTCTTCTGAAATGTTCTTTTGTCCCCATTTAAGGAACGATGCATTTCTCCCATCAGTCCACGTCCATGTATCACTGTCATCTCTGGAGAGACCGATCCAGGCAAAAGGCCTCCCTCCCTGTCCCCGCAATGCGTGGAGTGCCTCATTTTCCTCCTCGTTGCTGATTGAAGACAGATCAGTGTAATGCATTTTGCAGTGTTCTCTAGCCTCTAACCACGTCTTCTTGTCATTAACATAAGTGTCCCTATAAAACAGAGCCAACTCGAGGAGACCTGTGACCATGACAAACCTGAGAGCACTTTTCCCCATGTTGACTCGATGTCGATGTGGCCTTCTGAGCACTAACCTCACCCTGTCAACGGTCTTTAAGAGACTTGCAGGAGCAGTATAGGCACCCAATCAGAATGCATCTTAGGCTGTTATGAAAATAAGCAAAAAGCATATACAAATGAGGGCACTTAAATATTTACAAATAAGGCTTAATGGAAAGGCTTTATGGAAAACTGGTTTGAACTTGTAGGAAATGTTCATGCCATCCCGAAACACCTTCCACACCCATATCGAGACAATGGAAAAACAAACAGATTTAACCCTTAAAGTTAGTATTTTATGCGACTGCATGCAAAAAATGTGGCACACTTAACTTTCATATGAATAAAATGTTCATATCCCTCTTGCACATTTATTCTGCCATAAAAAATATATTTAGTGCAGTAAAATTGTATTTTGCTTTTACAAACAGGATTTTTCCTATATTACAAAAAAATAAAAAATACAACCACACTGTGTCATCTTGACTAATTCATTTTAGTAATAAAGGATTGAAATGTGATCAGTTCCATCAAGTGTTTCGGCCTGTGATGCACAGAATTTTCACTAGACTTGAATTGTTTCTTATACAGTCCAAATTATTGACCTGGCTAAAGGGCTCAACAAGCCCAGGTGCTCTAAATTGTACCAGCCAAACCCTCTTTGAACATTGAAACAGAACCAATTAGTAATAAACCTGTTTCTAAACTAAGGCAGTGACAGTCACAGTACCCGGACAGAAGTTTCAATGAAACACCGTCTATTTAAAGGATATTTATCTTCACAATATGGTGGAAAGAAGATGAATGAGTGGAAATAAAGAGTTGGAGTGGTTTGAGTGTGCCCTTCCATTTTAAGCAAATAATAAAAAATAAATCAACATTACACCCACTGAGGCATGTTGCTTACGATGCTTTGAATACCAGATTTGCTTTTTCAATGATGATCATTCAAACTACGCTCTTTAGTTCTCCAGTTTGTTTTTGCTCTTCCTCATTCAAAACACTGATTTGCATTTCAGTGGAAACCACAAAGGAAGAGTTTGCACGATCTAACCACGATATGGTAGGAGAAACAGTTCTCTCTTTACCACCATAATAATTCACACTACGACTTTAAATCTCCTTTGATGTTTGCTAAATAACAAATTAGGTGTTTGTATTTCATTTTGAGAGTGATACGAGAGTGGGTTTTAAAATGAGCTTACATTTAATTTGTCATTGCCTTTGGTGGAGAATAAATCAACATGTTGTTTGCTTCGTATTTTTACTTAATCAGATTTTCAAGGATCAAGAGACTGCTGCTCTGCATGAAGTGATGTGTTGATTGTGTTTTGGTGAAGTAATGATGTGTGTTTCTATCTTTTAGTGATATTATGGGTACACCAGTACTTCTAAAATAAACATTGGATCATGGACCACTGATGTGAAGTAGCTGGTTTCCCTTTAAAGCCCCTGTGTGGAGTTTTGAGCTTGTTATAAACAGACTGAAATGATTATTGATGGCTCTTTATGACCAGCAGCAAACCAGACCATCAAAAGCAAGATTGGCTTTTCCTTGTACAGGACAGAATCAGCAGAGATTAAGTGTACTGTTTTGTCCAGAGGGGGCGCCACAAATCAACAAAACCTCAAGTTTCCCACCAGAGATTTTAAGAGCACATTGCTCTTTAATATACAGTGAGACTTTATATCTTTCACATAGAGCTTTCACACATGCAGAAAACTCCTGATATTTACAAAAGGAGCCGTGTTTCATGCTCTGACTTCACCCAGAGTTTCTCCTGCCAGACCCCTAGTATTTTTATCGCAGCAAGTGATGTGAGCTGATGTGAGAACGCAGCAGGATATTCTCTGGAGAATTCAGCTCCAGCCAATGGGAGGGAGAGTGAGGTTTATAACCATTACGATCTCTGTGCACTAAATAAATGGTAATAAAAGCTGCATTGTGTTTTCTGTTCATCAGTATGTTGTTCTCTGGTCTTTATTTGACATTGTGATTCAGTGGAACTACACATAGCATTGATATGAAGGCAGGTATTCTCATTATAGCGTCGTATAGCGACTGTTCCTTCGTCCACTTCTTCTGAGTCATTTTTTTTTACATAACGTCTTACCTGAAGAGACCCCCCCGTCCCCTTTCACGTCTGACAGGGATAGTCTTCTGCTGTGAAGAGCACATATGACCAGCCAGGTCAGGAGAACCTCAGTAGCAGTCCTCCTGAAGTTATGTAGATATTTTCAGGAGTGCATGTGTGAAAGCGGCTAAAATCCTCCAGTATATCATTGGATCCATGTCTGAACCCTCATCTGTTCCCAGTTTTTTGTTCATGATACACATTTGTATTTACTGGCCTGAGCTATAGCTGATTTCTTTTTCATGATTTTCCACAGAGTATTGTTTGAGTGAATATTTCTGTGTTTATGTGGTAGCCTACTGATTGCTCTCCTGAGTCTAATTTAGCATTTTATAACATCATAAAAAAAACTATTTACTGGCACTGGTGATGAGGAATGAATATGTATGAACATATTTAAATGTTTCTGTTCTTATACCAAGTGAACACAACACAAGTAAGCTGCAGACCACCCACAGAGATATTGGAAACAGTCACAGTTTATGAGTGAGGCACAGGTACAGAGAAAGCAGGCATATTTACACATGCAGCACATTATGGAAGCAGAGGAGATAAAAAAAAATAAATGTGTATCACTGATGTAAAAAAAAACAGGTTTCATTTTTGGGAATGCTGAACCTGCTTGATGGTGTGTTGGAATTTCAAAGCTTTTTTTCATTTATTTTGTGCTTATTTAAAAAATGTTGCTGATCATCATTCCCAACAACAGAAGAGAAATAAGAAAGAAATGTAGACTTTGATAAAAAAACACTGTACACTATGACATCATGAAAATCAAGACACAACCACAAAAATAGACAATGTACTCTGCAACCTATCTCAGTTCAACTCTGACAAAAAGGTTAAGTTGTTCATCATGACACAAGTCTAAATTACTAATGCAAATACTAATGGCAGAAACTATTTTCCATCGTAAGAATAGATTGTTGTTAAAAACCATAGATTGTATATTAAGATGGACGGAGAAACAGCCGCTTCGGAGTAAAGCCAAAATGTTTAGAGCTCCCCCTGCTGACTTTCTGCAGCAATAGACCCCGCCTCCTCTACATTAACAGATGGGACAAGGGTCATCTGTCTAAAGTGAAAACAGTTGTCAAATACATTTTTGTCAAACCCAGAATCTGTTTTTATTTTCAGCGCTGATTGATGTCCACGTCGCCATTTTCTGAGTAGATATTTTATGTGATGCAAAAAATGCGTCATGATCGACAGCTCGGTTGACAAATGAAGTTCCTTGCAGCATTCATAACCCGATGAGCAGGTAGAGGAGGAAAAGTGAGAGAAAATGTAACAAGGGAAAGATAAAAAATTAAAGAAGGTTGTAATGGTTTGCAAAATTTTCAGAATACCTTCAAACTGGCCAGATTGGTGTATTAGCAACACATTTGTTAAAAAAGTATTTTAACGTTTGTTTGATTTCATGGGAGCTTTACTTATTGGTTTGTTGCTAACACTATGTCAACTGTCTTTGGTTTCTATACAAAAATTTTAACATCACTAGCGAATGCTTTGTATTTCAGTTTGACATATAAGAAAACATGGCCGACATTCTTTGTATTGAGACTTTTTTTTTTTTTGCCTGTCATTCACTTACAGGTTTAAATAAGGTAAAAGCAAGAGGGGCTACAAAGATCATCATTTCTTGAATCACAGAGAAAAAATGAAGCAGTGAGCTTCAGTCCTTTTTACAACAGTATAAAATCTGGTGGTCTGCCTGGCTTGATTGGTTGAAAAATTTCTCGGCTTCTTCGTCAGGGATCAACAGCACTTATTTGGCATTATTTGGGGATTTCTAAATGATTGTGACACACACGCTGAAGTCAGGGCGTCTAACAAACCACAGTCAGTGCCCTGCTGAGTCCCCAAAACAGCGTACGCAGACTCCTCAGTGATCCCCGAACTTTTCACATTACAGGCATTGTCATTATCTTCTTCATAGTCATGAGCTTCATCATTGTTGTTTTCATCATCGTCCCGAGAGATGCAGGTGTAGAAGAGGAAAAAGGGGGAGGTGTATTTATTCAGTGGATTGTTGTTGTATTTGTCTCAGTGTGTGGAGAGTCTCTGAGGGGGATTGTGGGTAGTGAGTCCCAACCAGTGACAGTAGAGCGGGGGGGGGGGGGGGGTTCATGATTCACATCTCCGTGTCAGCCACGGGGGTCTGGGTGGCAGAGTGTCCGTTAGTGGTGGGGGCGGGGTTGTTCCCGTTTTCAGGTGGAGACTCGCCGTTTACCGTGGGCTTGTCGAGGGGCTCCTGAGGCAGGGGGGCCACGGACACCAGGGTGTTAGCCTGGTTCTCCTCGTCCACCTGGAAAGTGTCAGCCTATGACAAAAAAAAAAGAGTCAGATTTAAGAGCTGATTCAGCTACTTTTTGTCCCCAATGCCATCAAATATCTTAATCACACTTAAAAGAGAGCCTCATACCTCATACTGCACAAAGCTTGTTATATCACTACTGAACACCCTTTAATATTCACCAATTAGAATCTAGTACCCTCCTTTTTACTGTAGACATGAAATAAATAACATTTTTGCACACAAGTTAAAGACTAATTTCTTATTTTTATTCTTTTCTATTTCACACAAGGGAGGCGATGCGATGCAAAGTGCAGCTCTGCATTCTGGGAAATAAACATGACATGTAAACAGAAAAAAAAGCATTCAGGTAAAAAGAATGCTAGAATAAAGAGATGGAAAATAAAACCTAATTGATAAGAGAAGAAAAAAGAAAAAAGAGAAAAAAGACGATGACATGAAATTCATTCATCGTTGAAAAATAAACTTAGCAACACAGAAGATAAAAGTCTAAAAGACTGCCACAGAAAAATCTGCTCTTTCATGGCGGAAGTTTTTAGCTTCTTTTAAAAGTAATTAGCAAGCTAGCGCCTTGATTAGGAAGTGCGTTCTTTCGAAGTTATTGTCAAGATTTAATCTCAGATTTTCTTTGGGATTTCTTTTGGGAAACCAATGAACCAGCAGCAGTGGATGATCGCAGAAGATACACATTTAACACTAACTGTCCAAATCTGACGTGCAAACCAGCAGGAAGGTGTGTGACTGTAAACGGACTTGTTTCTGTGGACGTTGCTCAAAAACAAACAGATACATTCTTCGTTAATGATGTTTATGACTTTCAGCTGTGCGTGTGCTCAGAAGGGTGTTGGTGATTGCTTTAACGTTTGCAGGGGTTTACAGTATGTGCGCATGCTTGTTGTATTTACTTTGACCTCGAGGTGAAGATGTGAACCTTTGTTTAGCTGATGCTGTTTCAGTTTGTGAAGTGCTTCTGTCAGTCTATGCAAACTTTGAGGAGAATCTAAACAAAAACTTTTGTTCAGTAAATAATACACCAAACAAAGACAATCCAACAACCGGTTCCGTCTGAAGCGTCACATGGGTGCGCCTCCATATGTAAGTGTTTTATCATGTGATGTAATGAGCCTGAGAGGGAAAAAACTAAAACCATCTGTAGCCCCCTGTCAAGGGGCTTCAGCAGAGAAAACATGAAGGACTCAATGCTGATTTTAATTAGGGAGCATGTGAGTCTTGTGTGTCCTTCGAGTGAGGAATAGACTGAAGGATAACCATATGTTTGACCTCCAACCTCATGTACTCTTTTTGAATAAACAGTCAATGTGTGTGATTTCCTCAGTGAACCGCAGAAATCAAATCAATGGTATCATGTTGTTAAAAAACAACTTGAGTGTTTCCTGAAGTAAAACGTCATGCTTTATGCGTATAAAAGGAAGAATGTGTGACATTTTTCCGGCTCCTCCCCTGTTGCATGTAAAAGTCAAGGAGTAAGTAAGTAAGAAAAGAATAACACAGACTACTCAATGCCTTTTCTGATGTCACATAAGCGTTTTTAGATCGAGGTCATTCTGTGTCAATTTACACACAATGTGGTGTTTTTAATGCTAACTTAAGTGTGCTAACATTAGCCCACTAACAACAATGCAGGCCACAGGCAACTGCAACTCAAACCGAGGACAATTTTTGTGAGTCGCTTGCGCTTAATGATGCTGAATTATGGTGCCATCCGTTTAGTAACTCCTTCCTGTGAACGTTAGTGGAGGGGGGTTGGAAGTGGGTCATTGGAGGAGAGCGGAGGCTTCAGTATGGCGGAGGCTTTGCCAAACAAACAGCAGTTTGTTTTAATTTCATGCTGGTGTTCAAGGACGACATCTACTGGATCTAAAAGTGGACCATTCTCACTGTAAGTATTAACAGTATGACACAGCTCCTCTGTTCTACTCACCAGTCTGACTCCTTTGGAGTTCTTGCGATGGGTCTTGAGGTAATAACCTGCCATCAGCAGTGCAGCCAGCAGCAGACCGGCCAGCAGCAGAGAGACCAGCACCAGCTTAGAGTTCTTCCCCCAGCGAGCGACAGCCTCCTCCACATCAGTCTGATAATGAACGAGAACAAAATTATGAGTCAAGCATTCTTTCAGTGCTATACTGGCAGGAGAAGAGCTTGATAATCTGGTGAATATTATCACTTGAAATCTTGACTGAAAGGTAGAAATATAACAACCGCACTTATTAAAGAGATCCAACTTGCTGGCATTAAAAGCAGTGTGAAAACATAAAGAGGCCAGAGAGCAGGCAGACACACTTTAAGGAGTGACTGATGAATATCTTTTCATGTCATTCAGTATGTGGTGGAGTAAAAAGGGAAATGTAGTGTATGTTGAATGCAGAGACACAGGATAGGGGTGTGACAGACACACCCATAACCCCAGACTGTTCTGCAGAGACTTGATGAAATGTTTTGCAGCTGAGAGGTGGATTGTTTGTGGGCTTTTTGTTTGTCACACTAACTGTCAGTCTGGCAGCTTAAAGCCTGAACTCAACTCAGGGAGAGTGTTTTTCTTCTCCCTGGAGGATCTTCCCGTCGACTTCGACTATGAATCAACAACTGTATTTATGGTGGCTTGTGGGTGTCACTTTTTACTTTACTGGAAGAGCATTTTTTCAGGCCCTTTCACAGTGTGATGTTTGCCTAACTTGTGACATAATCAAAGTATACATCACAATGCATTTGGAGCAGAATAGCGGTCACACAGTTTATTATGACTCCTATTCCGAACTAAACTGAACAATCAATAATATACATACTTGTAAACAATAATGCTGAACTTTAAATACATAAACGTATATCAATAAATAAAGGACATGATAAATATACATGTGTGGAGTATTTGTAGTATAAGATATAATGGATACTTTACCTTATCTTTAATGTTGTCGTTGTTGAACTTGTTAGCCATGCCCGCCACATCATCTGCAAATAACAAAACAAAATATTGGAAATTCTGGAAATTCTGGTTTTTACAATCAGTTATTGAGAGATATGCCTCTGACACAGATAGGCCAGAATTACACACATGCACAAACAGGACCTGTGGACATGCAGAGGTGGAGAGATGTCAGAGGGGGGCTGCTACACAGTGAGCCCGCCAGAGCTGTCTGAAGCCACTGAGCTACTGGGGTGAAGCCCCATTCACACATGAACAAAATTCTTGAAATTTTCAGAAATATTTTGGGTTGTGCTGCATGTGTGAACGCGAACATCTGAATTTTTTTTACAACAAATTTACTTAGATGGTGTTTAAAATTTGCAATCTGGAAGTCGAACTAGTATACAGGATGGAATCTGTTTTAGGGGGTCTACCAGAGGGCAAAAAAAAGAGTTAAAACTGTATTCCTCGCAAGACGATTTGCATTTTGTTCAGCAAAGACCACAATGTGTTGTCTCTGTTTAGCTGTGTAGCTCTTTCTAGTACCAAGTACCAATCCTGCCAGCTACCAGTATGGGACATGAGCTCTTGGCCTAGTAGTGAAGGTCATCGCTGGTAGTCATGAAGTGTGGACCCGTCAAACTGCGACCAATTTGCCTAGAGGTCTTAATATCAAACCAGCACTTGGCAAGCTTTATTAACCTCACCATCCATCCCAGCAAGTTTTATACAGTGTCCATTGGCAATAAACAATAAAAGTGGCATCAGGTCGTAGTAGGTGATGATGACGGCTGCACTTTAATCATGACGGTTCATGTCTCAGCATTTTATACTGCTACATATCGGTTGCACAAGTACGTAGAACGCAGCCTACTTTTTAGATGACAAAATTGGTATTAAAGTGCGTCACCAAATGAAACGGTATATCCTGCGACCAGCTTTTAGCACTAAAGTTAACATCAAAGCTTGGTGTTGTGTCCATCTTCTCTTGTATAAAATCAAAAGAATGTTACTGACCTTCAACATACTTTCCAGATACAAGTATGTCATCTGTGTTGTCCTCCTGGTAGATTTCCAGTTTACAGTCCTCACCACACAGCTCCTCCAGAACACTTTCAATCTTCACTTTGGTGTCCTCCTGCAAGGAGACCCAGATAACATTTAATTAGCACTGAAACATTTTCAACCTGACATGTTTACTTAAATTAATCATTTCTGTATTGACCAAAGTGATGCTCAATGCAAATCTCAAATGATAAATACTCAGTCGATATCACAACACGATATCTGACTGAATCTTCCACTAAATCTGTAATCCCTCCACTCACTGTTCTGTTATGTTCTTTTTGTCTGTCTAATCCAATCACGCTTTCACCACCCTGTGCACAACCTTTTCCCTGATGTTATCTGATCCAAACTTCACAATCTGACTCACTAAAGGAGCGCTGCATAGCTGTTCATTAGTGGATGGCTTTTTTTTTAAAGAATGCATAGCTATTTGATTGGACCTGGTGACCTATCTTTGTCTTCAGATCCTCCTTATGTAATCTTTTTCTTCACATTTGATCTACTATGGTATTGAAAACCTAAGCTTAAAGATGAGCCTTTTCTCTTCTCTGCTGTAGATGATGATATCATCATGTATAATGCAGCAGCCATCTCGCCACTATATTTATATTTTTTCGCCATTATCAGCTTTCTCCATAGAGCCTGTTAGCATAGCTTCCAAGCAATATGGCGGACGTTAAGTTTCAATTCTGTGAGTGAGTTCCCACCCACTGATCTGTGATTGGTCTGTAGCTTCAGTGGTCAAAAATATGAGGAACTAGCGTTGTAGTTTCACCCCGCTGATCGCAACAGCTTCCAGTGATGCAAAAATTGTCATTTTGCGTCACTGGAAGCTCCTTTTCAGACTTACTGAAATACAAAGATTTCCCATCTCAGGTGAAAATGAGGGCGGGATGCACGACCATTCAAAAATACTACCAGATTTCTAATGATACAAAGCTTAATGCAAATGCGTGAAGTATCCCTTTAAGTATATTCTCACATTGGGACAGTAGACTGTATTATATATGGACCATGGGGGTGCAGTTTGACCTTGTGGTTAGGTCCTGTGCACCATGTTCAGAGGCTGAAACAAGCACCAAAATGATCAACCTTTCCAGGAAAGGTAAAAAAAACCATACTTTTAAATAAAAAATCTTAGTTCTGTGTGCACTTGACGTCTTTGTCTGAGTAAAAAAGAAGCCCTATGTATATTCTGTATATGTATGCTGCTTACAGCTGTGTCTGAATTGCTGAAATGTTAAATAATGCATTTATTTATGTGCGCTGAAGCTCTGTTGGGTTCATAGCTCCACACCGCCGCTGTGATTCCTTCAGACCTCAAAGCTGTTATCCTGAGGCTCTGAAGAATTTGTGTTTCCAAACACAAACACACCCACACTGTTGCTTCAGGCCTCTATACATTTCATATTCTACATCAGCACACAGCAGCAGACTCAGCGAGCCCACCCATTGTGCCCCTCTCCCTCTGCCCCCTCACTCACTATCCATGCCCTGAATGCCATCCAACAGAAACCCTTTGGCTTTTCTCTCTACCTGAGAAGTAAACAGAATATCAGAGGTTTCTTAGTAGTTTTGCTGATTTATGGAAATCAGTGCAGAGTTGGTGTCTTTGTGTGTTCATAGTCAATAGCACTGAAATCTGGATCTTACAGTATATGTTAAGCAAAACTCTCTTTTCTGCGCTGTAGCTTAAACAGATTTTTTTTTTTTACCACAATCAAGCACACACTTGAATCGACAAAGTGATTATTTCTGAACTTACACAGGTGGAGGGGGCCTTGAGTTTAAGACTGACGGCATTTTTGTCCTGGACTGCCTCTTTGCTGACGCAGACGACGTCTACCCGTGGAACGAGCTGCAGAGAGAAACAACAATATCATCAGCAAAAATGTTAGGTGCATGGCGGATGTATTTAACATGAAACAGTAAACAGTTTGAACACTTCATTCAAACAAAACGTTTTTGTGAAAATGGATGGACAGTCAGTGTTTCTCTTGCTTCATGGATATATGAGCAACGGTCTCAGCTCAAGTTCATCTCTGATAAGCAACTTAGAATATCATCCAAACCAAGCTGGGATTTACTTTTCGTTTCTTGCAGTTGGTAGTCGGCCATGACCTGCACTCTGTAATGAATAATTTTTATTCTGAGCTCTGTATCTGAAATAAGTTCTACATTAATATCTTAATTTTAAACTTCTCCACTTACAATCACATGTTTCAGTTAATGTAAACCTGAGATACAGTGTACTTAGTGTTTGTGTCCATTTCATCATGTGGTCAACGTAAAATCAATTCTTTGTCTTACCTGTGGTATGTTGTTGTTGGGGCCGTCACCTCTGGGAGGCATAGGTGGCTGGGTCTCTGGTTCCACTTTGGGAGTATCCGTTGGTACCTCATCTGTGACCATGGTGTTCTCACCAGCTGTTATAACTTCTATATCTCCAGGTCCGCTGTTGCCATTGTCTCCTGTCATTTCTGCTGCTGTAGTTTGATCAGTCGGTTCTGTAGTTTGATCAGAAGGGCCCATGGTTGGTAACATCATGACTTGTGGATCTTCTTCTGAACCTGCAAAAGCAATTCAAATTATAATTTCTACATGGCACTATTCCTCTTTTCACTGAGACTTACACCAAACACTGGGAATGTGTATGAATGGAAACAAATGTATACCCGGTGGAAAGAAATTATTTTGAAATTTGAAATGTTTTATTTCCCTTAACCACTTGCTATTTCTTTAATATTTGCCTAAAACTTCTAAAAATGAAAAAGAAAAAACACTCCTTTGGCCTGGGCCATCGGACTCGCTGGACTTCCTGTTCACATGTGACTCAACGCGTCATCTGTCGTTCGACGCAGGAAAACAGTACCCGTACTGGATTATTTCCCAGCACTGACCTGGTTTCAGTTATTTTATTTGCTTTAGGTTCTGCCTCACGCCTATGTGCTGTTGTGCTTTTTCCTGGCTGATTGCAACGATGAGGAGGAAACACAAAACGGTCCAGGCCTCCCAATCAAAGAAGCAACATGTAAGGGAACATGTGCATCTGGCTGTGCGCAAAATGTCATGTAAGTCCCCTCTGACACTGTTCTTCCCCTCTGACACTGTGGACTTAGTCCGTCTAACTAGTGTCATGACTTTGTATGACAATTTCACCCTTACTTCAAGTAATCAATGTGATTTTAGAAGGGCGTAGCTCTAAAGAATCCTACAGGAGATCTTACAGAAATGCTTGATTGTTTTGTTATTGTTGATGTCTGGTAATGTTGAGCCCAATCCTGGCCCGGACATCCCTTCAGGTTTTAACACCCCAGCAGATTTTAAGGAAAGATCTGGTCTTGGTTTCCTTCACTAGAATGTTCGTAGTCTTGCTGCCAAAATGGACATGATGCGTATCTGGGCACAGACTTATGCGCTCATTAGCCAGTTTTACATTGCTTGTTTTAAGATGGTACTGCTACGTCTCTGTCACATACTGCCTTCATTGTAAATGAGGTGAAAGGATGAGGCCGAGTCATTCTACCACTGAGCCAGCATCAGGGATAGAAACAGAGGTAAAACACTGTCACTAAAAATCACAGTCAGCAGGACAGGACAGCGCTGTGTATGTTTGTCTGAAGCTCCCACATCATGCCTCCCATCATACACAGTGTAAAATCACACTTTTCTGACGCCATTACCTCAATTATGTCTCAAGGACGTGAGAGAACACTATTAGTGAGAAGTGCTAGTTTTACCAATCATTGAGTCATTCCTCCATGCTTACATTTTCAGGTTACTCTAATACTTTAGGCAAACCAATAACTGTTTTAGTAAGTAAGGGATAATGATGGTCAGTTTTTCTTACTTGGAGCTTTAGTTGTCATTGCAATCCCGTCTCCTCTTATGAACTCTGCTACTCTCACGGCCGTCGTTGTTCCTGTCACAACTTCGTCGTCGTCTTCCTGTGCCATGACTCCTGCTGCGAAAAAACAGAAAAAGAATTAGTGTAACAGTGATCGAAAAAAATTAAAAAATCTCTTATTAGCTTTGTGTTCGTCTCAAAGCAGGGATTTGATTTGCTGTCAAACATAACAACAACTCTAACAACGTGACCTTAAATCGACCTGTCTCAGCTAAAATATCCATCATTAATAACCTCCTGGTGGACTTATTTCTCAGCTCAGTCTGTAAAAATAAACCATCCCTTAGTCCCACAGGACCAAAAGCTCTGACCTCTTGTTCACTCCCACTGGGATGAATGCTATGAGCTTCTCAGGGAAATCTGTCAACTTATATAATAAACATGCCAAAGCAATATATTTGACTTGTGCCAAAACCTTTAAAAAAAAAGAATCCTTTATTCTCAAGATGTGTTTTACACAAATGTTGCAGTTTATACTTGTTAAATGGATAGTCACTGTCAACTATTGCAAAGACTTCTGTTCATGTTTTGAAAGCCTTTTTGTGATTGATACAAAAAATGTTCCAGGCACACTTTCGCAACTCACTGAAAACCACTTTTGGGTCCTGCCAGTTGAGAACCACAGCTCTACTCCAGCAGTGGTTGGGTAGGTAGTATCGGCATTGTCACTATTTGGAGCCTGCATCAACACAGCCTGGGTCTTTTAAAGGTGGTAATGCTGTTTTGGTTGCTGTGGCAACTTAGGGCCATGGAGTAGGTTATGCAAATTTACCAGTCTGGCATAGGAGCATAATTGGGATGATGGATGTCTTCAATGAGCGCTTATCCTTTCATGAAGGCACAAGTACACTGTGTTTATTTCAAACACTATATCAAAATATCTTTATAAAGAAATTGGTGAGATGATAAAGGCTGTTTTGCAGTTTTGTTTTGTAGTTATATTCACTAAGAGGAATCCTGAGTTTTTTTCTGATTATTGTGTTGCAGGCATGATTTGTTGTAACGTGAGGCAGTAACTAATGGCTCCGATGGTCTGCAGACTTCACATGAGCAGTTCACAGACTCCAGTTATCATCCTAATGTATGAAATCATGCAGGGTGTGAAAGCCCTTTGATGAGCTCACAATGACTTTTTCTTTGTGTCCCGAGAGGCAGATTAGGTGATAGATCTCATTGCAGCAGATAGCTGATGCTCTCAGATGTGTGGATTACATCATGAAGTCTTTTACTTTGAGGTGCAATTTTCTCATTCTGAGGTTTTCAAAAGATCCTGAGGCCACAATGTCTCACTTTAGGTAGGCCGCCAATGGGATACACAAAAATATGTTTCAAAATGTGAGTGGTATGACTTTCCATCGACCCTGTTAAAGATTAAAAAAAAATGCCCTGTTAAGATGTGCTGCTGTAGGCGCTAGGCAATGGTGCCACTGAAAATATCACTTTTTCCACATTTTTGAATAATGCAAAAAGGCCATTACACCAGTTTCCATTTTCAGGAGTCTTATGACTTTCAGGCAGCAGTCCTTGATAAATTGAGACACTAAATCAAAGCTTGGTTTTGGATATTTCTTGTCAGCTGTGAATGACTTCACCTCGAATGTTGTAATAGCCTGGATAACTTCCAGAGCTCGTTTTATTGCTAATTAGCTGAAAATGCAACCACACCCTGCAGTCTGTGACCCGCTCTGATTCAATCACTCAGGTCAAATACCAAGGTGAATATCGAGAAGTCAAGGTTTGCCTTCCTCTCACCCAGGTTTCCCTCTCTGTGTCTAACAACAACAGAATTACCTCACTCTCAAAGCATTCCCATAATGCCTTACTTCTAAAGATCTCATTACTCCTTGCTCTGCCTTCCTTGCGGATGCCAGATTGAGTTTGTGATTGATTTCAGGTTTGTTGGTGTGCTGACCCCTGTTGACCTACATTTTCCTTCCACTCCTGCCTTTGTTCACATTGGATAGAATTCAAGTGATGGCTTTGTTTATGACAAAAAACAAAGCCTCTTTTGTAAATCTGTGACATACAGTGTACCCACTTTAGTTGAAGATAAAGATAATGCACAATTTGTCACTGTTTACCAGACACATGCTGATCTGCTGTGTTTGAAAATACAACTAAAGTAAACCAGCACAATGTATTGTTTGTTTTTTACTTATTTAAGAACTCTTGAATTGGAAACCTGTTAATCTAAGAGTAATTACACATTCAAATACTGAGTTTTTAACTGCAAAAGTCAAAAAATTCTTCAGTCAAAGGGAAATTGAAAATGTAAGACACATCTTGTTTTTTTTGCCCTATGTCACATGGCTTGAATCATCTTCATTGTGGGAGTTCCTTTAGAAGGAAGATATCTTCTTATGTAATCAAACAAAACTTTTAAATATGTCAGAAAATCTGAGTTAAATGTACCATGATGAGTTTTTAAGAGTTTATTAGACCAGATAATTTTGTTACCGAAGCCTCTATATAGAAAGAGCCATCGAAAACTTGGGGTAGACTCAAGTGGAGAATTGTTATCGGGCCATTGTCTCCTCCCGGTAGTCTCACTGTCTTCAGTCACTGCTTGAGGTTTTCACACATGAGGTGCATATCTTCACACAGTGGTGCCACTGAGACACATGTCCGCACACCTCCTTTTGTAAATCATGGTGACAGACAGGTGCCACTAGCACAGAGTAAATACTGTGTGTGCCGTGCGAAGCAGATGGGGCAGTAATCTCTGAGGAGGTCTTTTAGTGGAGTCAGCAACTGTCCACTGCAGCTGTCTGTCATGCAGGCGGAAACAAAAACCTACACTTTGTCCCTGGATCAAATAAACAGGACATTTTGTTCTCTTTATTCCCCAGTGAAACCTACAATAAAGGGCAGGAAAGCTACCTCGTAGACATGCTCATGTTTCACTGGAGACAGAGTGTAGCAGAATTTAGTGCCACATGGCGTCTTGACTTTACTATTAGGAGCATTAGCGTGGGTGTGGACCGGCAACAGGTCAAGGACTCCCTAACCTTGTTAGGTCTGTCCATTAGGGCCCATAGTCTGCAGCCCGGAGGAGCGTACAGCTGCCATCCCTCTGCCGTCTCTGGGTGGTCCGTCTGTTTATTTTACCGGAAAGGATGAGGTTCGAAATGGGTGAGATGGTCGGGCATAAATCAGGTTTTCTCGGACAATTGTGACACGCAGGAGTGTGAGGCTGAAAGGAGTTGTTTCAGCTCTGTGATCACTACATGTCACCTGGGGATTTGGAGTGGACTTTGAGGTAGCACCCTGTCAGCTGTGTTGTTGAACGAAAAAAAGACAAGATTGACGCTGTTTAGGTTTCGGTTACAATGTGGGTTTTTGGAATGTCTCTGGTACTGGGGAAATACAGTAGTGAGGTTGGGATATGAATCCACATTCCCTTCTCAAAGAGAACCACAGTATGATTGGCATAATTTTAATGCATTTTCGCTGTAGGGTTATAACAATACCAGATTTTTAAACTTTGATATGATCCTAGAAAACATCAAATGATATTGATACCACTGGGACAAAAATAGTCCTTGGCATATTCTGAATTATTATTTTTTTTATTTACCAGAGATTGCAGGCAAACACTTGTATATTGTCCATATTTTACTAATATGTTGTCAACGTTTCAGTACCGCAATGTTGCCAATGTATTCGTGCAACTCAGACAGTGTTCTCATTCTTTTTTGCTCGGGGCAGCTTTTGGTAAAAGACATGACTGAAGACCTAAAGCTCTTTTTAAGATTCAGTAGGCTACTTTTAAATACCACGTGATCTGTATCGTTTTAAAACACTTGGTATCGAAAAAAGTAAAGTATTAAACAGTTTTGACAACCTGACTCTCCTGTGTGTACCTGTTTGATAAATCCATACAAAAGCAACATATTTCATGAGTCTTGTTCTAATTATATCACCTAAAAAGCACTCTTGTCAAATTGGGCTGCTGCAATCTCTGAAGTAAAGCATGCTTGTTAAGCTCCGACACAATAAGACACAGCCTGCTTTTTTTGCAACACTGCCAACAAAACCAGTAAACTCCATCCAGCTCTCTGACCATCCATCACTCGTTGCACACAAACAAACTCTCCTGACAGGCCGGAGCTCTGCAGGAATTAAACCTCTGTGTATAACTGCCTCTTACGACCAACATTTACAGAAACAGCATGATCCGAGTGATTCCCTTTTATTGTTTTGTTTTTGTTGTAGACCTAGAGTCTGGATTTTATGAAGTTTGGGAAAGTCCTTAATTTTTTTAAGGCTTGTTACAGGATACGTTCTGAAACCATTTTTAACTTCTGGATACAGATTTAGACTTAAAAACTTGACTATTTTATTTGTCAGCACCCCTCCATCAGAGTGATTTTTAACAGCTATGTATTAGTAACTTAATATAGCTGTGATTTGATTGCTACCACTTGTACGTGACATTGATCATTACACTAAAAGAAAAAACCTTATAACAAGTGTTGTTAGCCGCTTCTCAACTAACAGCTTGTTGCCCCTGTTAACATCCTGCGCCTGCTAAGAATTTTATTTTTAACCTCAACTTTGCTTGAATTATACTTCAAATAAATAATTTACCAAAAAACAAATACACCCTACAAACATGTGACAGTTACGCAAACTCTTTGCTAGTTTTCAACAACCTTATTGTCAACCTTAACCAGTCTGCTGTTGTTTTTGCCTTTGTTGCAGGATAATTTACCTGAAATCGCTTCATCTTGATAACTATAAAACAGTAGTGATTAGGGGTAGATATATACAAAATTCTGGCTGCTTTATGTCATATTTAGGCGGGGCTCATAAATGATGGTATTGGATCAGTGTAATACCTGGTATACCTGCTGATACACCATGAGCATCTTACTCTTTAGCTGAGGGTTTTCAGATACTGGGACTAACAAAGTCTACCTCTACAACAACAATGAATTATTGCTTCCTTATGTAACATTTGTTCCTTGTACATTTAGGCAAGAGGAACTGCAAGTCACTTTCTTATAGCCTTGACCTGTACTGTTGTGCTGTACCTGATACAGTAATGACCCTGG